TGGAGTTAAAGGTAAGTGGAGCTAACCAAAAGGGATAACACAAGATAAAAGGCGTTGTTTTGACAAACTTAAAAGAGGAAGACATATAGCAGTCAAGTAATTCCAACAGATCTCCTACCAACTGGCTCTGCAGCTTTTTTTAAATATCACCTGCGCCCGCACAGGTGAAACTAACGACAGGTGCAACACATCCTGACAAACAAGGATGATTCCAATCAGTGTGCGTCACACCCATACAGAACCAACCTCAAAATCGAACTTCAACGCAAATTCGAAAAAAAAAAACATAGCCTTGAACACCCTTAGTCAACAAGTATTTTCCATGTACTTGTTGGACAAGTCTGTTCACAACCAACAGAAAACTCCCATTTCACAACTTAAATGCATTACTTTCTCCAATATAAACATTTTGTTCACTACCTGTCAACACTCCAATACAATCATAAATCATATAACAAAACAGCCAAAAAAAAGTGAAGTCAAAACAAAATGTGCGCCAGAACAAAACACTGGCTTAACGCTGAACAAAAATGTACTACACACCCTTGAAAGACAACCAGTTAACAAGTTGTCCTTATCACGGACATGTCTGATGTCAAGGGGAAAGAAACTCCTGCAATGTCCGTTGTAACTTTCCTTGTGATTTTCCTTAGTAGAATAACCTCAGGGAAACAAGTGGCAGCACACATGCTGGTTAAGAGAAATTGGTTACCACTCTGAACCCTGCTGAAAGGTTAGTCAAAAACAGATATAGGCTGCAAAGTTGCAACCGGCAGTTTGGTTCAGTTTACCCATCACCTGGCAAACGTGACAGGATTTACAGTAAACCACAACATCCTGTTCCAGGCCAGAAGAAGTTATATATGGTCATACGTCTTCTTTACCCCAAGATGGCCTGACATATTACCATCATGAGCCAACCTCGGTATCTCTTGTCGAAGCGTAACTGGAACGACAATTTGAGATACACTGGGCCAATCGTCTTGCCCAGAAGTGGCGCTGGAACGCCACTTCATCAGAACACAATCTCTGTCAACGTAACCCACAAACTTCAAACTCCTCCTCTGGATCGATCTCAGCAAAAATAGTGAAGAGTGAAGCATCTTTTCTCTTTTCAGCTGCTTCCTAGACATTAAAGTGTCAACTGTAGGGACCCTCTTCTTTCAGCGGCCCTACAAACTCACTCACCTTTGGGGTTTTCAAAGGAGCGGTCAACTCAGGAGGTTCACCGAAATCAGGACCACACAACCCTCTGACAGATCGAACTTGGTGGGATCGCTGATATCCTAAACACTACACTTGCTCTCTGCAATCTTCTTAGACATAGCATACGCTAGGAACACTCTAGGGTACTTTTCTGAAAACTGTCTGGAGTACTCCCACAATAAGAAACGTCTCTCTCGCTTTTATGTTTAAACTTAGGCCACAGAGAATGTATCCTTTCTCTCAGCAGTAATGACAAACTGGCAGATATGAAGAACCAGTTATCTGCCGATCCTTGTCTTTGGGCACTGGGGAAAAAGCCAAACCTCGTGGTAGGACTTCTCTGGATTGTTTTTTGCAATTCTGTCTTTCATAATTTACGGAACTTTTGTCTGTATGCCTCTGGGAACAACTCATAAGCCCAAAGGATAGCAGCTTTAACAATATCATAATCTGAATTTCACTGCCATTTTAAGGACGTTGCAATCCTCTCAAACAGAGTAAAATAGACATCCAACTCCTTTTCAGTGAAAGGCGGTACAAGCTGGCTGTTCCGACCAAGAGCAAACTCTGTTGAGGGTGCAGGATGGCCCGACTTGATTCAGAGTACTTCCAACGCAACCTCTTTTAATCGAATGACATGTTCACGTTCCTGTTCTTTTTTTTTTTACCGAATGGCCTGCTCAAACTAATTTCTGTTGCTCCAATTTTGGCTTTAGTTCGATCTCTCGCAATTTCACATCTACAGGGTATACTCTACCAACCGTAGGACCCTTTTCATCATCCTCCCTCTCCAGGAGGATTTCCTCCCCTCCACCAAAGCAGTATCGATGAACTCTGACTACCGCTTTTGAGTCGGCAGGTGCCACTTTGATGTCAATGCTTTGCAATGAGCAGATTCGCCTTTGTACATTCATCAAGTATCTCCCAAGTACGGTACCCCAAAAATGCTCCCAATTCAGTCTTTTTTTTTTTTTTTTTACCCTTTGAGTGTTCATGCAACTTCCAACTGCTTCGGAAAGATTTGAAAGACTACAAAAAACCTGGGACAAGATCCCGGACGAGCCCCCCTTTCGTTAGGTTCCCACTAAGACGAACTCATGACGTCGTCGCTCACAAAAAGGGAACTAATAAATGAGCCACGGACAAGCGCCAAAGCGAAACACGTGGGGTTTTAGGAGGGGTTCTCACACTCATGTGGGTGGCCACTGAAAGTTCACTAGCAACAAGAAACAGGGTCCTAAAAGACACCCACCATAAGTACCCACTAAATTCACCCCAGAAAAGGCAAACCAAAATAAAACCCCACAGCAACTTATAATCACAGCAATTTATAATATGGAGTTAAAAGTGGAGCTAATCAAAAAGAACACAAGATAAAAGGCTTAATTTAAAGAGGACGACTTAAACAGCAGTCAAACACTTCCAACATCTCTCCTGCCAACTGGAGCATTGGCTCTGCATCTCTTAAATATCACCTAAAGTGAAACTAACGACTAATTAACGAGGCAACAGGTGCCACACAACCTGACCAACGAGAATGACTGAAATTAGAGCGCGCCACACCCACACAGAAGCAACCTCGAAATCGAACGAGAGAAAAAAACAAAGCCTGTAACAAAATGAATAAGAAAAACAAAAGTATATTCTATCTCCTCCAGGCCAATGATTTTCACGTCTAACATATACATTGACACAAGACTAAATATAATTAATACTAAATTATAAAACATTAACTTCATTATTACATTATAACAATACATGACCAACTAAACAGAATTACATAATTATTACTGCATACAAATAAAAAGTCAACTTTTGAATATGTCATACATTTTTCCAAATGACATGTATTATATACAAGGTATGTTAAGCAATAACAACAAAAAGACTTCTCCTTTGAACTATATAAAAACAAAATTACAACAATGGTGTACATATCACAATCATTATCAAATCCCTTGCTTCCCAACTTCAATATCATTACATAAAACTACAACTCTGTATGTCTATATGTGTAGCACATTCCTTATATAAAACGTCATTCTACATCTGCCTGCGTCCCAAACAGCACCCCATTTCCGAAATAGTATGCTACTTTTAACCAGAACGCATTGAGCCCTGGTCAAAAGTTGTGCACTACAGAATAGGGCGCCATTTGGGACGTATTCTACAACTGCTGGCTCAAGTCTATAATACTAAAGACTTGAATACAAACCATGGTGGATTTGAAAATGATTAGGAAACAGACTCTTCATATCATGACAGTACTGCTTTGACCGGCTGGCTATATAAATTCAAAAATATACACATCTAAAAACACAGAACTTCATCCAGAAGTGAGTTAAATGTAGCTTGGGTACCAGTCTGTTTGTGACATGCCATGACAAGGAGTGACATGATGGCACACAGACTGGTACCCAGGCTAAGTTAAATGAATACAATAAAAAACACAAGTGAAATCTTTCTTGAGGTCATTAGCACACTGATAATTTCTTTTTAAATATCTACAGAAATTCTGGTGAAGGGATCCCCTTTCTAAAAGATTTGGTTGCTATCTACATTGGAAAAATAAAAACCTGGGTGGTGAATTAAAGTAATAACCTAGGTTTTGTAGAAATAAAAAAGTAAATTAGAGGAGTTGAAAGTGAGGTAAGAACATAGTTGTGAACACAGAACTGTAAAGGGGGTGAATGGGAGGCAAGCCTACTAGCACATAATACATATAAAAAGCTATCTAAAAGTAAGTAATCCAAAACTACATTAGTTAATCTCAAACAGATTCAATCAAAATCATTAGAATGATTTCATTTCTAAAAATCCCATTTGGTTGAATTGTCTGGAAATAAATGTATATTTAAAACATTCACCACTTCTGACTTCAAGCACACCCGCCCACCTACCCACATAGAGAGACCCATGTCAAGTGAAGAATGGGTCATATTATTGGTTACATAATAAACTTTTTTTTTAAACTTTTTTTATTTTCTTTTTACTATAAATGAACTACAATTTATTTCAGAAAATGTTCATTGCCAATTTGATGAATACATGCTTCTTGCATGTAAGTTAAATGGGTTCAATGACTAGATAGATCATATACCAATTAATTGATCCATACATGTTCAATTGATTTGAGCGGTGGAAGACCAACTAAATGTTTACATGCTTCTCAATATAATGTATATATATTCATATCAAAGTATGAATAATACCAAATGTGAAAGCAGAGTACCAAAGTAGAATGCTGACTATTTCAGCGCTACAAAACAGCTATATAGATTCAATCAATTCTGAATTATTAAGAGAACATGAGTGGATGACAGGTGTAGGTGAAGATATCAGATGGACAAAAGTTGAATTATAGATTAAAAAATATAAACAGTCTCTCTTAAAGCAGTCACATCTTTCAGGTCCTCTTTAATTTACATCCATCTGTCCTCCATCCGTCCATATCTCCCGAAGCACCTCTCACAGGAGAAGCTTCCCATTGCGGTGTATTTTCAGAATCTTTCCTAGTCTCTGTTTTGCTGTTGCAAGTCCTTTCTTTGGACGTTTCCCTGAGATGGAGGTAGAAGGAAGGAATGAGGCAATGGGTAAGAAAACAGTTTGTCACATTTGTGAATCCTGTTCATTAGGCACTAAATGGAGGAAAACAGACTGAAACAGGGAGGGATTATCTGGACAGGTCATTTTCATTTTCCGCTCTGAAATGTTTTCTGTTATGTGCCCTAATGAACACAACTCACAGGGGTTAAGGCAACAAAAAAATCCCATGACTGAAACTTAAGTCGATCTCAGATCGATTGTCTGTGGGGCCAAGTTAACTTCCGCTTTCATGTAAAAAAAAAAAATCATGACCATCATGCTTTTAGGGAAAGAGGATCATTTTGTACATGCAAACTGCTAGTTTGACCAATTCCAGTCCTTTTCAAATTGGATAAAAAAATTAACAAATTATTTAAATAAGAATGAAAAAAATAAATCCATATGACAGAAATCCGTTGCAGTGACGGAGAAAGAACTTTAACCCCTGAACTTATGTCTATGTGCTGTGAAGTTACCAGTGTGTTTCTACAGTCATTACCAAAATTATTTGCACCCTTGATAAAGATGAGCAAAAAAAGAGAACACAAATACTTAGGGCAGTGACGATCATGACATTTTGGATGACGGTAATTGGTCAGCCAAATGACTGCTGTCACCGTAATAACTGTTTGGGGAGGGGGGCACATTTTCTCCTCTCCTCCGCAACTGACCGCATATGCTACCATAGAAATATAATTAAAAGAACAGGCGTCCTCATTCTATGATGGCATAATGGGTGGACTGGCGGCCATAGATGTGGTAAAGGAATCATTGGAACGCAGAAGTTCCATTGACCAGTTTGGCGAACATTCAACAAATCTGATCTAACAAAGTGGATATTCGCCAAATCTGACATGTTTTCTGTATTGTAACAGGCCCAAAATGTGCTTACTTAAGTCCTATTTGGATATATTTGGCTGTTTTCGCTGCATAACATGTATAAGTTGTCCCTTTTCTAGTTTAGAAGAAGTGACTGCTAAATGCTAACTCCCGTTCGTATAAGCTGGTTAGCATAGCTATCATACAGAAATCGTTGATGGTGGTCAAAATCGTTTTTAACTGTAATGTAGTTGATCGGTAACGATGACATGAACATGTGTTTGGGTTGACATCCATACAAGCATTATACTCCGATTTTTTACCTCAACATAGTGTGAAATACGCATACAAACAATAGCCTAAAAGTAGACTAATTCTGCTGGGGGGTAATGAGGAGACCCGGGATCTTTCCCCCATAGCCCTTTACCCCACGCGTTTCCATGGCAATTCCATTGTTTTGGTCTAGTTTGATTGACCTCTTTACCGCATCTATTGTGAGTGTACCCATAAGTCAAATATGTGCTAAAATATGTGCTGTGATTTGCTGATTCAACTCAACTGACATTACAAAAAATACATTCCATTGCATGAGCCACATCAGTTAAACATCATTTGAATGAACATTCTACATTACCATGGAAGTTATTGCATCAATACCAGGCAGCCATTGCAAGTTTACCAGTCAAATTGCCAGGGTTAGATGTTGCAACCCTATTCAATTCATTATATATTTCTATGTGTGCTGCTTTTTTAGACAAAAAAAGTTTATTTTATTTTTATGATGTTTGAACTATATTGTGTATAAAACAAAAAAGGAAAATTACACTGAACAAAAATATAAAAGCAACAAGCAACAGATTCAACGATTTTACTGAGTTAACAGTTCATATATGGAAATAAATAAATTCATTAGGCCCTAATCTATGGATTTCACATGACTGCATAAAGATATGCATCTGTTGGTCATAGATATCTTTAAAAAAAGGTACGGGTGTGGATCAGAAAACCAGTCAGTATCTGGTGTGACCACCATTTGTCTCATGCAGCGTGACACATCTCCTTCGCATAGAGTTGATCAGGCTGTTGATTGTGGCCAGTGGAATGTTGTCCCACTCCTCTTCAATGGCTGTGCGGTTGCTGGATATTGGCGGAAATTGGAACACGCTGTCGTACACGTCTATCCAGAGCATCCCAAACATGCTCAATGGGTGACATGTCTGGTGAGTATGCAGGGCATGGAAGAACTGGGACATTTTCAGCTTCCAGGAATTGTGTACAGATCCTTGCAAAATGGGACTGCGCATTATCATGCTGAAATATGAGGTGATGACAGTGGATGAATGGCACGACAATGGGCCTCAGGATCTCGTCACGGTATCTCTGTGCTACCAATCATTGACAGAGCCCTCTGTTTACAACGTGGTAACACGTGGTCTGCGGTTGTGAGGCCGGTTGGACGTACTGCCAAATTCTCAAAAACGACGTTGGAGGCGGCTTATGGCAGAGAAATTAACATTAAATTCTCTGGCAACAGCTCTGGTGGACAATCCTGCAGTTAGCATGCCAATTGCACACACTCTCAAAACTTGAGACATCTGTGGCATTGTGTTGTGTGACAAAACTGCACATTGTAGAGTGGCCTTTTATTGTCCACAGCACAAGGTGCACCTGTGTAATGATCATGGCGTTTAATCAGCTTCTTGATATGCCACACCTGTCAGGTAGATGGATTATCTTGGCAAAGGAGAAATGCTCACTAACAGGGATGTAAACAAATGTCTGCACAAAATGAGAGAAATAAGCTTTTTGTTCGTATGGAAAATTTCTGGGATCTTTTATTTCAGCTCATGAAACATGGGACCAACACTTTACATGTTGTGTTTATATTTTTGTTCAATGTTTTTTATTTTATACTTTTTAACAAGTAATATGTTTTCTCTCAAAAAGATAGAGGTCAAAACTATTGGCACCCCTATTTTCAATACTTCGGCACCCTCCCCCTTGCGAGGATAACGGCACTGAGCCTTTTTCTAAAATGTTTTATGAGATTGGAGAACATATTGGGAGGGATCTTAGACCATTCATCTATACAGAATCTTTCCAGATCCTTGATATCCTTTGTCTGTGCTTATGGACTGCCCTCTTCAATTCAAACCACAGGTTTTCAATTGGGTTCAAGTCCGGACTGAGATGGCCATTGCAAAATGTAGATTTTGTGGTCAATTAACCATTTCTTTGTGGATTTTGATGTGTGCTTGGGGTTATTGTCTTGCTGGAAGATCCACTTGTGGCCAAGCTTCAGCCTCCTGGCAGAGGCAACCAGGTTTTGAGCTAAAATGTCTTGCACTCTTTGGTGTTGAAAGAAGGATGCATATACAGAAAATAACCCCATAAGGTCAATGGCATCATGAACTTTACCCAGTACCAGGACATTTTTGCCCAAAACCTTGTTGTCTCAACCAGGAGGCTGAAACTTGGCCGCAAGTGGATCTTCGAGCAATACAATAACCCCAAGCACTTATGTACTTACCTCCACCAGCTCCAGCGCTGCCGGGGCTAGCTTGCCCAGCGGGGGAGGCTGCCGAGGGGGAGTAAGTGCTGCTGTTCTGGGGGGAGAGGGAGGGTCGTCTGGAGGTGAGGAACACCCCAGGAGCCATAGCAGCACTCCCTCTGGGGCCCCCAGGGCCCGCCGTGTACTCATGGTCCAGTAGGCTGGCAGAGTAGCACTCCACCCTCTGCTCAGGGCTTAAGTCAGGGGTGGGAGGCTCCGGGGCCAGAGGGGGGGAGGGAGGGGACGGCTCGGCCTGAGGTGGGGGCTGTAGTGCGGCAGGAGTGGCAACGGGGCGGGGCTTTTTGGTGTACTTCCTCTTGGTGGGTTTCTGGATCTCCTGGATGAATAAACAATATAAATATTAGACAGCAGTTGACATTCAATCATGTTCCCTAGCTCCTCAGAGGGTAGCATCTCAACATTTGGCTCTCATTTGAACGTTTTTGGTGATTGTCTCATCTATTTGAATGTGTATAAAATTTAGTAAAGGGCACTACCGCTACCTGCCCTACCTCTCTCAGAACATTAACTTGTCCCAAACTGCCCCCCAACATACACTATACATTATATACAAAAGTATGTGGACACTGCTTCAAATGAGTGGATTCGGCTATTTCAGCCACACCCGTTGCTGACGTGTGTAAAATCGAGCACACAGCCATGCAATCTCCATAGACAAACATTGGCAGTAGAATGGCCTTCCTGAAGAGCTCAGTGACTTTAAACGTGGCACGGATGCCACCTTTCCAACAAATCAGTTCATCAAAAATCTGCCCTGCTAGAGCTGCCCCAGTCAACTGTAAGTGCTGTTACTGTGAAGTGAAAACGTCTAGGAGCAACAACGCCTCAGCCGCGAAGTGGTAGGCCACACAAGCTCACAGAACGGGACCACCGAGTGCTGAAGCTCGTAGAAATCATCTGTCCTCAGTTGCAACGCTCAATACAGAGTTCCAAACTGCCTCTGGAAGCAACGTCAGCTTGAACTGTTTGTTGGGAGCTTCATGAAATGGGTTTCCATGGCCGAGCAGCCACACACAAGCCTAAGACCACCATGCGCAATGTCAAGCGTCGGCTGAAGTGGTGTGAAGCTCGCCGCCATTGGACTCTGGAGCAGTGGAAACGCGTTCTCTGGAGTGATGGTTTGTTGAGATCGGTGTGGAAGAACTTGACTGGCCTGCACAGAGCCCTGACCTCAACCCCATCGAACACCTTTGGGATGAATTGGAACGCCGACTGCGAGCCAGGCCTTATCGCCCAACATCAGTGCCCGACCTCACTAATGCTCGTGGCTGAATGGAAGCAAATCCCTGCAGCAATGTTCCAACGTCTAGTGGAAAGCACTCCCAGAAGAGTGGAGGCTGTTATATCAGCAAAGGGGGAACTAACTCAATATTAATGCCCATGATTTTGGTATGAGATGTTGGACGAGCAGGTGTCCACATACTTTTGGTCATGTAGTGTATTTCTCCTCCTCTCATCTCACCTGTTGTGCCAGTTTGGCAGCAGCTGCAGCAAGGCCAGTCTCTACAGAAGCCACTCTGGCCCCCTCCCTTACTGGGCGCTCCTGTTTTGGCAGGGTGGGTGTTACCCGGGCTGAGGGAACAAGAAAATATGTTAGCGGAATTAATCAATGATTGGTAACACTTTATTTGGAGAGTCCGCCTACAGATGGTTTCTAGATGTTCAACTAAGTATCAACAAATGTCCTTTGCTGTCGGTTTGGTCATGAAACATGTCCACTGTCTAACATTCAGTGACTTTACGTTGACAACCCATTGAAAAGGGGTTGAGTAGTGAGTACCTTTGGGGCTCCAAGGAGTGTCGTCCCAGTTTTTCTTCCGCTTCATCTTGGCCTTGTTGGCATGGTCCTCCTCATCAGACTCTAGGGAGGGATAGACTGAAACACACACAGGGGTTGGTTAGGAGGTTGAGCAGGCAGGCAGGATAATGACTGTGACATCATTGGATCATTTAGTTTAGTATCCATCATAGTGTCTTGATTAGACCATGACTTAGTTCCCAGGTGAGCTAAACCCAATGTTCGTGAGTTAAAAAAAAATTTTTTTAGGGGGTAGATCAGCTTTAATATTGCAGATAGATTGTAACTTCCATCAATGTAATTGTCTGCATCACTTCCAATCCCCCATATGTAGTTTTTTTCCCCTCGCAAATATAAATATTATATATATATATATATATATATATACACACACATTTCCATTAAAAAAATATATTTCCCTTTATTACTTTCCAACCCCACCACCCCTTCCCTAATTGGAGTAAACTAGTGAACAACAACGCTTAGGCCTCTACTTCCAGCTTATACATACTATATACATTTTATGGACACAGTCAATTTTACAATAATTCTATTTTGTTTGTTTTTACTCCTGAACTTCCTCTACCCTCAACCTCTCATTTTCATGATGTCCATCCGGTTTGCTTCTATATGCCATATCTTTCTAACTGTGCTCTTTCACAAAAGCTCTCAACCTATAACCTATATACTTATTATGGACACAGTATGCTTACATTATTTGTTATCTTGTTGTTATTAGTTGTTATTAGTCCCATCCTTCAACACTACCCATCTATCTCTTAACACCATCCATATTGGATTTCTATTGGCCATATATTTTTCAACTATACTGTGATGTTTTATAAGAGTTCTGAACCTTTCTATTCTCATTGTTTCTACAGATTGTAAATTGAAAATAAACATTTTTGCTAAAAGTATTATTAATCGATTGACTATGACTTTTCAGATCACCCAGTAATGCTATCTGCAGGGTTAGCTCCAGGTAAATATTGCAATCTTTTAGCCATTCCTGGACCTGTGTCCAAAAACAAGCTACAAATGGACAGTACCAAAACAAATGATCTAATGATTCTGTCTCTTCGCAGCAAAATCTGCAGAGCTTGGAAGATTGTATCCCCCATATAAATAACATTCTATTGGTAGCAACATTTTTATATAATACGTTTTGAATCCGGCGTCGTTTTGCGTATCAGTTCATAAACACTATGCCATGGGATCGGTACGTCAAAAATCTCTTCCCAACTATTTTGCAATCTATATGGGATGGCTGTCAATCCTTTGGTCCTTAAATAAAACTGGTATACTTTGTTATTTCTCACAGTTTTCTTGAACCAATTATATTATTTAATGCAAGGCCGACAGACAAGTTCCTTACATTTTCCCCCTTCCACTTTCCTCTTCCATTTTTGCGATAATGCTGCAATTATTTGGTTGTAATTTTGGGTAGAGCAGACATTTCCATATGTTTTTTGTTAGCTGTATGTGCGACATAACTCCACCAGTCCTACCGATGATATTCTTTACGAAGATTATACCTTTTTTAAACATTGTGTAAAAAAATTAATGGTTTTTTATCAATTAGTATATTTGAGTTTAACCACAATATTTGTTGCATGATTTGTTCTGTCGTTTCTGGAGGATTAAATTGAAATTGCAACCAACTTTCTATGGCTTATTTTAGAAATAGTGATATTTGGGAGATTATTTCCTTTTCAAATAACTGAAAGTGTGAGGTTGTAATCTGAATAAAGGGAAAAAGGCCATTCTTGAACATTGGGTGAGACAATCTTACTAATTTGCTAGAGAACCAGTTCAGATTTAAGTATAACTTTTGTATGACTGAAGCTTTTAGTGATAGGTCTAATGCTTTAATATTTAATAATTTCTGTCCTCCGAATTCATATTCATTATATAAATAGGCCCGTTTAATTTTGTCTGGCTTGCCGTTCCAAATAAAATGGAATAATTTTTTCACATATAAATTAAAAAACAGTTCGCTAGGCATAGGCAAGACCATAAGCAAATAAGTAAACTGGTATAATACTAAAGAGTTAATCAAGGTGATTTTTCCACAAATTGACAGGTATTTACCTTTCCATGGTAGCAAGATCTTATCTATTTTTATTTTTTTATATTTATTGGAGTGAGATCATTTATTTCATTTGGGATATGTATTCCAAGTATATCCACATCACCATCAGACCATTTTATTGGTAAACTACATGGTAATGTAAATGTTTAATTTTTTAGTGATCCAATACGTAATATAGTACATTCATCATAATTTGGTTGTAATCCAGAGAGGTTAGAAAATGTATCTAGATCCTCTATGAGGCTGTGGAGGGATTCAAGTTGTGGATTTAAAAGAAAACATGAATCATCACCGTTGTTTTTAAGCCCTGGATTTCTAATCCTTTGATATTATTGTTGGATTTGATTTTAATAGCTAACATCTTGATGGCCATGATAAATAGATATGCCGAAAGTGGACAACCTTGTTTCACTCCTCTTGACAGTTTAAAACTTTCTGAGAAATAGCCATTATTTACTATTTTACACCTAGGGTTACTATACATGATTTTAACCCATTTTATAAGAGATTCTCCAAAATTGAAATGCTCCAGGCATTTATATATAAACCCCAGTCGTACTTTATCAAATGCCTTTTCAAAGTCTGCTATGAATAGCAGGCCTGGTTTCCCAGATTTTTCATAGTGTTCTATTGTTTCCAATACTTGTCTTATATTATCTCCAATGTATTTTCCATGTAAAAAACCTGTCTGATTAGAATGAATAATGTCCGACAATACCTTTTTAATTCTATGAGCTAGAATTTTTGCATCACAACACTGAAGTGTAAGGGGCCTCCAATTTTTTAAATGGACTGGATCTTTGTATTTTCCACTTGTATCCTGTTTCAGTAATAATAAATCAGACCTTCTTCTTGAGTGTCTGATAATCTACCATTTACCATTTACATAGGAGTGGTTAAAACATGCTAATAATGGTCCTCTGAGTATATCAAAAAAGGTGTGGTATACCTCAACTGGTATGCCATCCAACCCTGGAGTTTTCCCGGACTTAAAGTCTTTAAATGCATCCAGAAGTTCCTCCTCTGTAATTTCACCTTCACATGAGTCTTTAACTTTACATTATCACTAGAAAATACATCTCTACAATTAGCTTCAGTTAGAGGAGATGGAGGCGACTGAAATGAAAACATATGCTTAAAGTACTTTGTTTCCTCCTTCAAAATATAATTTGGTGAATCATGGGTGACTCCGTCATTTGTAACCAGTTTCAGTAAATTATTTTTGGTTGCATTCCTATGCTTAAGATAAAAAAATAATTTGGTGCATTTTTCCCCATATTCCATCCAGTTTGCTTTATTTTTTAAAATATATTACACTTGATCTTTCTTGAATGAGTTTCTCAATTTATTTTCGTTTTTCCTCTAATTTATTCTGAGCCTCTATGTTACAGTTTTTATTGCTATCTATCTGTTCTGTTAGACCTATTTCCTTTTGTTAGTATGGACTCTTTTGACCTAAATTGCTTTTGTTTTTCGAGATGAGTACTGAATTGCATGGCCTCTAAAGGCACATTTAAAGGTGTCCCATACAATAAGGGGATTTGCTGTACCTATGTTATGTTGGAAAAAATCAGTTATGAATTCCTCTGTGCTAGTTAAAAACAAGTTCTCATCCAATAGGCTTTGATTACATTTCCAATATCCTCGCCCACGTGGAAATTCAGTAAGAGTAATGTATATGCCAATTATGGTCTGACCGCATTCTGTCCCCTATCAACACTTTTTAAACTTTTGGTGCCAACGAGAATGACATAAGAAAGAAGTCAAGACGACTAGCTTGATTTGAGTCTCCACCATGTACAGTGGGGAGAACAAGTATTTGATACACTGCCGAAATATCCAGAAAATCACATTGTATGATTTTTAAGAAATTAATTTGCATTTTATTGCATGACATAAGTATTTGATCACCTACCAACCAGTAAGAATTCCGGCTCTCACAGACCTGTTCGTTTTTCTTTAAGAAGCCCTCATGTTCTCCACTCATTACCTGTATTAACTGCACCTGTTTGAACTCGTTACCTGTATAAAAGACACCTGTCCACACACTCAATCAAACAGACTCCAACCTCTCCACAATGGCCAAGACCAGAGAGCTGTGTAAGGACATCAGGGATAAAATTGTAGACCTGCACAAGGCTGGGATGGGCTACAGGACAATAGGCAAGCAGCTTGGTGAGAAGGCAACAACTGTTGGCGCAATTATTAGAAAATGGAAGAAGTTCAAGATGACGGTCAATCACCCTCGGTCTGGGGCTCCATGCAAGATCTTACCTCGTGGGGCATCAATGATCATGAGGAAGGTGAGGGATCAGCCCAGAACTACACGGCAGGACCTGGTCAATGACCTGAAGAGAGCTGGGACCACAGTCTCAAAGAAAACCATTAGTAACACACTACGCCGTCATGGATTAAAATCCTGCAGCGCACGCAAGGTCCCCCTGCTCAAGCCAGCGCATGTCCAGGCCCGTCTGAAGTTTCCCAATGACCATCTGGATGATCCAGAAGAGGAATGGGAGAAGGTCATGTGGTCTGATGAGACAAAAATAGAGCTTTTTGGTCTAAACTCCACTCGCCATGTTTGGAGGAAGAAGAAGGATGAGTACAACCCCAAGAACACCATCCCAACCGTGAAGCATGGAGGTGGAAACATCATTCTTTGGGGATGCTTTTCTGCAAAGGGGACAGGACGACTGCACCGTATTGAGGGGAGGATGGATGGGGCCATGTATCGCGAGATCTTGGCCAACAACCTCCTTCACTCAGTAAGAGCATTGAAGATGGGTCGTGGCTGGGTCTTCAAGCATGACAACGACCCGAAACACACAGCCAGGGCAACTAAGGAGTGGCTCCGTAAGAAGCATCTCAAGGTCCTGGAGTGGCCTAGCCAGTCTCCTGACCTGAACCCAATAGAAAATCTTTGGAGGGAGCTGAAAGTCCGTATTGCCCAGCGACAGCCCCGAAACCTGAAGGATCTGGAGAAGGTCTGTATGGAGTGGGCCAAAATTCCTGCTGCAGTGTGTGCAAACCTGGTCAAGACCTACAGGAAACGTATGATCTCTGTAATTGCAAACAAAGGTTTCTGTACCAAATATTAAGTTCTGCTTTTCTGATGTATCAAATACTTATGTTATGCAATAAAATGCAAATTAATTACTTAAAAATCATACAATGTGATTTTCTGGATTTTTGTTTTAGATTCCGTCTCTCACAGTTGAAGTGTACCTATGATAAAAATTACAGACCTCTACATGCTTTGTAAGTAGGAAGACCTGCAAAATCGGCAGTGTATCAAATACTTGTTCTCCCCACTGTATATCTCACTAGATCAGGATATTTAAGCCTCCATATATCTACTAGTACTAATGTATCCATGACATTCATGATTTCCTTAAGCGCATGAGGGTGATTGTTTGTAGTGTGATTTCCTTTACGGTCCATTGAGCTATTTAAAACGGTATTATAATCTCCCACCATAATAATAGAGTCTTGAATTGCTTGCAGGGTTGATCATTTAATATATATATTGTCAAAGAAGTGTGGATAATTATTATTTAGTCCGTAAAGGTTAACGAGCCATATCTGTTTATGGTCAAATAACATATTTAAAACAATCCATCTACCTTGCGTATCTGTATTGACAATTTGCACATTCGGATCAAAATTACTGTTAATTAATATCATCACCCCTTTTGAGTTTCTTTGCCCATGGGAGAAGTATATTTCACCCCCCCCCCCATTCCTTTTTCCACGCAACTTCATCTAGAATTGTTGAATGAGTTTCCTGTAAACAATAGATATTATATTCCTTCTCTTTGAGCCATGTAAATATTGTTCTTCTTTTGTTATCTGCTACAATTATAACTGGCTATATTTATTTCAACATATACCATAATGAGATACAAGTTTCAAAACTATTTATCATTATATATGTTTGTAAATTTACCAATACAAAATACCATAGTGATTGAGTGTCCATATAGCTGTACCATGATATTTGCATTGCTACTATGTAACCCTCCAATTGTTCTCCACTAATTCCCCCGCTAAAGCCCCTCCCTGTCCCAAGTTGGGCCGTCATCCCAGTGATCAGCATACCACCCCTGTCCCTCCGGATCCCTAGGCCCCCGAGGCCAGGACCCATCCATCGAAAACAGCACACAGTGCCACCCACAAAACAGAAGCAGGTCAACCGCCAAAAGCATTTCCAATGCTCTCACCTCAATATATATGTAAACTTCAGACTTACATTTTTACATTTACATCATTTAGCAGACGCTCTTATCCAGAGCGACTTACAGTTAGTGAGAGCATACATTATTATATATATATATATATATTTTTTTTAAAAAAATTCATACCCCCCGTGGGAATCGAACCCACAACCCTGGCGTTGCAAACGCCATGCTCTACCAACTGAGCTACATCCCTGCCGGCCATTCCCTCCCCTACCCTAGACGACGCTGGGCCAATTGTGCGCCGCCCCATGGGTCTCCCGGTCGCGGCCGGCTATATATACACACAGTTGAAGTCGGAAGTTTACATACACCTTAGCCAAATACATTTAAACTCAGTTTTTCACAATTCCTGACATTTAATCGTAGTAACAATTCCCTCTTAGGTCAGTTAGGATCACCACTTTATTTACAGAATGTGAAATGTCAGAATAATAGTAGAGAGAATTATTTATTTCAGCTTTCATTTTTTCCATCTCATTCCCAGTGGGTCAGAAGTTTACATACACTCAATTAGTATTTGGTAGCATTGCCTTTAAATTGTTTATCTTGGGTCAAACGTTTCGGGTAGCCTTCCACAAGCTTCCCACAATAAGTTGGGTGAATTTTGGCCCATTCCTCCTGACAGAGCTGGTGTAACTGAGTCAGGTTTGTAGGCCTCCTTGCTCGCACACGCTTTTTCAGTTCTGCCCACACATTTTCTATAGGATTGAGGTCAGGGCTTTGTGATGGCCACTCCAATACCTTGACTTTGTTGTCCTTAAACCATTTTGGCACAACTTTGGAAGTATGCTTGGGGTCATTGTCCATTTGGAAGACCCATTTGCGACCAAGCTTTAACTTCCTGACTGATGTCTTGAGATGTTGCTTCAATATATCCACATCATTTTCCTTCCTCATGATGCCATCTATTTTGTGAAGTGCACCAGTCCCTCCTTCAGAAAAGCACCCCCACAGCATGATGCTGCCACCCCCGTGCTTCATGGTTGGGATGGTGTTCTTCGGCTTGCAAGCAACCCCCTTTTTCCTCCAAACAAAACAATGGTCATTATGGCCATTAAGTTCTACTTAAGTTTCATCAGACCAGAGGACATTTCTCCAAAAAGTACGATCTTTGTCCCCATGTGCAGTTGCAAACCGTAGTCTGGCTTTTTTATGGCGGTTTTGGAGCAGTGGCTTCTTCCTTGCTGAGCGGCCTTTCAGGTTATGTCGATATAGGACTTGTTTTACTGTGGACATTGATACTTTTGTACCTGTTTCCTCCAGCATCTTCACAAGGTCCTTTGCTGTTGTTCTGGGATTGATTTGCACTTTTCGCACCAAAGTACGTTCATCTCTAGGAAACAGAACGCGTCTCCTTCCTGAGCGGTATGACGGCTGCGTGGTCCCATGGTGTTTATACTTGCGTACTATTGTTTGTACAGATGAACGTGGTACCTTCAGGCGTTTGGAAATTGCTCCCAAAGATGAACCAGACTTGTGGAGGTCTACATTTTCCCATGATGTCAAGCAAAGAGGCACTGAGTTTGAAGGTAGGCCTTGAAATACATCCACAGGTACACCTCCAATTGACTCAAATGATGTCAATTAGCCTATCAGAAGCTTCTATTTTCCAAGCTGTTTAAAGGCACAGTCAACTTAGTGTATGTAAACTTCTGACCCACTGGAATTGTGATACAGTGAATTATAAGTGAAATAATCTGTCTGTAAACAATTGTTGGAAAAATTACTTGTGTCGTCCACAAAGTAGATGTCCTAACCGACTTGCCAAAACTTAGGTTGGAGTTTTAATGACTCCAACCTAAGAGTATGTAAACTTCCGACTTCAACTGTATATATATATATATATATATAGCTATTTATAAATATATATCTATTCAAATATCTTGCATATCTTATTTTCCAGCATTATCAATTAATATGCGTAATAATGTCGGCAGTACATGCGTAGGATTTTAACCTATAACCCAGATTGCCATTGTATTACATCACATTTTTGACAAGCAATTATTATTTTAGCAAACAGTTATTGTGGTTCATCCTATATTCTCCCTAACATCCTTACCCCCCTTGCAACAGATGTGGGATAAACACACACGCACATACTCTAACACACTCAACCCCTTTCCTCCACAATCAACCATAAAATCAGATACTCAACGGTTGTTACATCCCAGAGCCCAACTCAAGAAAGGACCTGATTTACGAATGCATATACGAATGCATATACAGTTACAGCTGTTTGAGAAAGCATGCAAGATTGAGCAAAAATTGACAACAATGTGAAATTTGATTAATCTATTTAATCTATGTCAAGTCCTAGGTGATGGAGATCAGATCCACCCTCTTCACCTGAGACACGAAAAATTTTCCCAAGCATCTCCGTGCAGTCAGACCTTTGATTATTTTGTGCCACCTGGGCCACAATGATAAGCCCCCTCTCTGATTGTTAGTTTTAGCTCGCCTGAGGAACCAGTTTGGCGGAGGGTGCATATTTGAGACCACTCCAAAACTAATTCGGCCAGGGCGAGGGGAGTAGTCTCTGAGCAATAGCCAGGCCAGGGGTGTGTTCTTGTGTTCTTTCCTCCAATGACTCACCTGGTCAGAAGTAGTGCACTATATAGGGAATAGGGTGCCATTTGGGACGCACACAGCCTATGGGAGAATCTCAATTGAGACTCTTCCTCTGACTCACCATACTCGGCGTCTTTAAAACAGGTGCCAAGAGTCTCCTGCTCATCTGGGCTGTCCTCGTCGCTAAGGTGACGGGCCGGCCGCTTGACAGGCCGTTTCCCAGGGCGTTGGAACATCGTCTTCTCTTTGGAGGCTCCTCCCCCTCTGCTCTTATTGGCTCCTGTCACCCACACGGCCCGCCCTCCTTTCTCTTTGACCACGCCCAGGCCCTCAGAAAGACCTCCGGAGACAGACCGAGGGGAGGAAGAGGAGGAAGAGGAGGAGGAGGAAGAGGAGGGAGGGTTGGCCATGGAGAGCATGCCCTGGATGGCATCTCGCGTGCTGGGAGAGGATGGGGCTTCCTCACTGGAGGGTGGAGAGGGAGGACAAGAGATGATTACCACCCAAACAGCACTAAAATGTAGAGGAGATATATTTATATTAAGCAAGTTAACAGAGGTTATCTTTTCTGTTAATGAAGGCAGCGAGTGAAACATTCATCCTCCCAACTTCATTGGCTCCCATTTTGTATAAATTTTTCCATTGGCAATCTGATGCCAAGGCAGAATGCCAATACATTTTTCGAATGATTGACTTGAGTTCAAATAGATAAGACAATACGTGGTAATCTGACTGCTCAGAATATCTGAACACAAGTTGCAGAGGGCTGGTATTGAGAATAAAACTATATGATTGAGGTTGCTGAAATGTCCAGAAGTGTCAGTCAGGCCCTACCTGAGTGCAGAGTCCAGCCCTGCCACCTGTTTGCTGGCTTTCAGCAGGTCCAGGATTCCCCCTGCTCCACCCTTCACTCCATGGACAGTCATGGTCTCCTCCTCATCTGTGGTGTAGTCCTCCTCAATGTCGAAGTCCACCTCTCCTGGTTCTCTGATGCGATTGGGGTCAGAGCATGGCTTGGCCCTCGGCAGCTTCCTAGGAAGACCTGACGGAAACAGGGTCATGTTCAGTAGGCACAAAATGGAAGAATACTATTCAAAACTGTGTGAAAGGGGGAGGAACTATAAGAAATGCTACATTTGTACGTTTTCCTTAGCAAAAGGTTTTGTTACAACATGTGCCCTGATGGAAAACGATCCAGGCATACATACACAAGTTTATAGTTTGTTCCTTGCTCCACCAACCGACCAAACCTGCCCCAGACAGATTACGTCACTCCCAAAGGACTCCTAAAAAGGTTTTGTATTGCTTTCATATCGATTTAGCCTAAAGGCTCAGAAGGCTTAACCGAACGCCCCAACAAGATCAGAAAACATATTTTATTGCTTAGTAATGCTATCACGAAAGAAGTGCTCTCTAAGTAAACTCAGCAAAAAAAGAAACTGCCCTTTTTCAGGACCCAGTCTTTCAAAGATTATTCGTAAAAATCCAAATAACTTCACAGATCTTCATTGTAAAGGGTTTAAACACTGTTTCCCATGCTTGTTCAATGAACCATAAACAATTAATGAACATGCACCTGTGGAACGGTCGTTAAGACACTAACAGCTTACAGACAGTAGGCAATTAAGGTCACAGTTATGAAAACATAGGACACTAAAGAGGCCTTTCTACTGACTCTGAAAAACACCAAAAGAAAGATGCCCAAGGTCCCTGCTCATCTGCGTGAACGTGCCTTAGGCATGCTGCAAGGAGGCATGAGGACTGCAGATTTGGCCAGGGCAATAAATTGCAATGTCCGTACTGTGAGACGCCTAAGACAGCGCTACAGGGAGACAGGACGGACAGCTGATTGTCCTCGCAGTGGCAGACCACGTGTAACAGCACCTACACAGGATCGGTACATCTGAACATCACACCTGCGGGACAGGTACAGGATGGCAACAACAACTGCCCGAGTTACACCAGGAACACACAATCCCTCCATCAGTGCTCAGACTGTCCGTAATAGGCTGAAAGTGGCTGGACTGAGGGCTTGTAGGCCTGTTGTAAGGCAGGTCCTCACCAGACATCACCGGCAACAACGTCGCCTATGGGCACAAACCCACCGTCGCTGGACCAGACAGGACTGGCAAAAAGTGCTCTTCACTGACGAGTCGCGGTTTTGTCTCACCAGGGGTGATGGTCGGATTCGCGTTTATCGTCGAAGGAATGAGCGTTACACCGAGGCCTGTACTCTGGAGCGAGATCGATTTGGAGATGGAGGGTCCATCATGGTCTGGGGCGGTGTGTCACAGCATTATCGGACTGAGCTTGTTGTCATTGCAGGCAATCTCAACGCTGTGCGTTACAGGGAAGACATCCTCCTCCCTCATGTGGTACCCTTCCTGCAGGCTCATTCTGACATGACCCTCCAGCATGACAATGCCACCAGCCATCCTGCTCGTTCTGTGCGTGATTTCCTGCAAGACAGGAATGTCAGTGTTCTGCCATGGCCAGCGAAGAGCCCGGATCTCAATCCCATTGAGCACGTCTGGGACCTGTTGGATCGGAGGGTGAGGGCTAGGGCCATTCCCCCCAGAAATGTCAGGGAACTTGCAGGTGCCTTGGTGGAAGAGTGGGGTAACATCTCACAGCAAGAACTGGCAAATATGGTGCAGTCCATGAGGAGGAGATGCACTGCAGTACTTAATGCAGCTGGTGGCCACACCAGATACTGACTGTTACTTTTGATTTTGACTCCCCCTTTGTTCAGGGACACATTATTCAATTTCTGTTAGTCACATGTCTGTGGAACTTGTTCAGTTTATGTCTCAGTTGTTGAATCTTATTATTTTCACACAAATATTTGCACATGTTAAGTTTGCTGAAAATAAATGCAGTTGACAGTGAGAGGACGTTTCTTTTTTTGCTGAGTTTATATTTCCATTTATACTATATCATGTAGAAAAGGCAGGGGTCTTTCTCTCTCTTACCACTAAGTTTCTTCTTGCTGGATCCCCCAGCCTTGCGTCGTGGAGGAGGTGTCTCGTCAATCTGTAGCTCGTCCTCTGTCTCAAAGTCTGACAGGGCAGACCCACCCATAGCATGGTGCTGGAAGTGCGGGGCACGGCCGGCACAGTTACTGCTGCCTGAACGACCACCCTTCCTCCTGTGGTCAGAAAGAAAGAAACATATATGAATGTGTTGATGACACAATGTCAAAATAATGTGATAAGAGATAAAGAACAAGAGGTCTCCTGACATCCCAGTCTTACCCCTGTATTTTGCCATTGGTCAGCACTAGCTTCAATTTGCTCTTGCTCATTTTCCCTGCAAACTCCTCCAAGGGTAGCTCAAACTGGAGATGGAAAGAAATCACAAGCAACCATTAGCATCACAACTCCATGCAAACAAACACTGTACTCAGGTTCAGAGCTGAATCAAACTACAACTTTATTTGTACCAGAGGGAAATGTTTTAGGTAAAAGGACCATTTCATTTACAATGCACATCAATCACCAATTGAACAGACATACCTTGTTCTTGTTTTTCTTGTTACCAGATTGGCATTTCTTCAGTGTGTGTTTGGTGTGGATCTCCAGGAGGTCCAGCTCTCCTGCCTCTTTCATTAAACCCTTTTGGCCCTTCTTTTTGGGGCTGGGGGACACATCCTTGGGTTTGGGGCCTCTCTTCTTCCCCGGGGGGCGGCCAGGGCTCTGGGAGATGGCTAGAGGGGAGGCTTTGGGGAGGGGCGAGGGGAAGCCCTGTGTAGAGGTGAAAGGAGCCGCAGGACGGCCTTGCTGGAAGATGTCCTTGGGTGGCAGAGAGGAGAGGACAGAGTACTCTCAGTAAGCCAGACTGAAATTATTTCATACACACTCATATGCCTGATATGGACTCACTATAGTGGCGACCTGAACTGTGCTGGCTCAGATATTATGGTGGATGAACAACCAGGCCAGTCCAGTAGCTTGGCTCGGTTTGCCTCAGTCAGTGTACTCTATGAAATGTTGTCAGATAAAGTGTCTCCACCTCCCCAGGCCGGCTTACCTCCACCAGTCGTATCTCCTTGGCCAGGTCCTTGACCAGCTGCTGAGTCTTAATGGTCTCTGGAATCTCCACCTCGTGGTCAGTCAGCGACTGGTGGGAGGACAAAAACATAACATCACAATAAGACACAAAGGACTATAGCGCCCATTATAACTAGCTTCCTGATATCTTATGCCATTGTTCATTATGACTGCCTATGACGGATGTATTGTCTTCAGTGGCTGCTATAAAGGCTTGATGAAATCAAAACAAATTGTATTTGTCACATGCACCGAATACAACAGGTGTAGACCTTACAGTGAAATGCTTACTTAAAAGCCCTTAACCAACAATGCAGTTTTAAGAAAGAATACCAAAAAAAATCACTAAAAAATACAATATAAAATAATACGAAATAAAAGTAAAAAAAAATTAAAGAGCAGCAGTAAAAATAACAATTGTGAGGCTATATGCAGGGGGTACCGGTACCGAGTCAATGTGCGGGGGCACCGGTTAGTCGATGTAATTGGGGTAATATGTACACGTAGGTAGAGTTATTAAAGTGACTATGTATAGATTATAAACAGAGAGTAGCAGCAGCGTAAAATAGGGGTGGGGGGGACAATGCAAATAGTCTTGGTAGCCATTTGATTAGATGTTCAGGAGTCTTATGGCTTGGGGGTAGAAGCTGTTTAGAGGCCTCTTGGACCTAGATTTGGCGCTCCGGTACCGCTTGCCGTGCGGTAGCAAAGAGAACAGTCTATGACTAGGGTGGCTGGAGTCTTTCACAATTTTGAGGGCCTTCCTCTGACACCGCCTGGAGTAGAGGTCCTGGATGGCAGGAAGCTTGGCCCCAGTGATGTACTGGGCCGTACGCACTACCCTCTGTAGTGCCTTGCGGTCGGAGGCCGAGCAGTTGCCATACCAGGCGGTGATGCAACCAGTCAGGATGCTCTCGATGGTGCAGCTGTAGAACCTTTTGAGGATCTGAGGACCCATGCCAAATCTTTTCAGTCTCCTGAGGGGGAATAGGTTTTGTTGCGCTCTCTTCACGACTGTCTTGGTGTGCTTGGACCATGTTAGTTTGTTGGTGATGTGGACACCAAGGAACTTAAGGCTCTCAACCTGCTCCACTACAGCCGCTTCGATGAGAATGGGGGCGTGCTCGGTCCTCTTCTTTTTCCTGTAGTCCACAATCATCTCCTTTGTCTTGATCACGTTGGGAGAGGTTGTTGTCCTGGCACCACACGGCCAGGTCTCTGACCTCCTCCCTTTAGGCTGTCTCGTCGTTGTCGGTGATCAGGCCTACCACTGTTGTGTCATCGGCAAACTTAATGATGGTGTTGTAGTCGTGCCTGCCCATTCAGTCATGGGTAAACAGGGAGTACAGGAGGGGACTGAGCACGCACCCCTGAGGGGCCCCCGTGTTGAGGATCAGCGTGGCGGATGTGTTGTTACCTACCCTTACCACCTGGGGGCGGCCCGTCAGGAAGTCCAGGATCCAGTTGCAGAGGGAGGTGTTTAGTCCCAGGGTCCTTAGCTTAGTGATGAGCTTTGAGGGCACTATGTGTTGAACGCTGAGCTGTAGTCAATTAATAGCATTCTCACATAGGTGTTCCTTTTGTCCAGGTGTGAAAGGGCAGTGTGGAGTGCAATAGAGATTGCATCATCTGTGGATCTGTTGGGGCGATATCCAAATTGGAGTTGGTCTAGGGTTTCTGGGATAATGGTGTTGATGTGAGCCATGACCAACCTTTCAAAGCACTTCATGGCTACAGATGTGAGTGCTACGGGTCGGTAGTAATTTAGGCAGGTTACCTTGGTGTTCTTGGGCACGGGGAATGCATACATAAGGGGGCCTACAGTAAAGAGCTACCTCTTTGCGTGTCCAGGTGCGGAAAGCGTTGTTGAGGGCCTTGGCTCCGTGGACCAGGTAGGTAGCAGGGTGTCTGCGGTTCTCTCTCAGACCTGCAACGTAGACCAACATAGAAGTTATCAAGGTTCTTGACAAACATTGCCCAAAGAAATGCAGTTCATTAGAGAGCAGAGGGAAAAAGCATGGTTTATGATGAAGCGCCTCACCTCTGAATGTGTCAAGCAGGTGCTTGCCAACATACCAGCACACCGTCTCAAAGTTTGGGAAACTGAACAGGTCGGCTGTACTCAACCTCTTCTCTATTTCATATGCCCTGATGGGGAAAGAAGACAGAACACAGGGTGTTCAGTTGGTAGAGCATGGTGCTTGCAACGCCAGGGTTGTGGGTTCGATTCCCACGGGGGGCCAGTATGAAAAAAAATGTATGCAGTCACTAACTGTTAAAATGACTAAAATGTATATGTAAAATGAATGGTTATAACATTTGGTAATTGGAATGTATAGTACAATGGTAATGGAAATGTATTGAATGAGCCATTTTCAAAATGGCATTGTAGTTATGAATGGTAGAGAGAGGTTGCTATGATCAGTTCAGATGAACTGAGTACTGCAAGTGATGTGACTCACGTTTTAGGAGGAGGCAGGAGGGAAGGGACTTACCGGAGCTGCATGTCAATGTTGAGACTGTGTAGGAAATTCCCTCCAAAAGCCACGCAGTCCACAGGAGTCAGTACAGCGTGGATCCATCCTGAGAGAGAGACACACAGGTACATGTGAACAAGTCAGACATATACAGGTAAAATACTATTCATATATGCATGTAGAACAATCACACATAATATACTAAGTTCTGACACACTCCACCAGGAATGCACTGTATGTAAAACACATCACCAGAAGAAATAACAGGCCTGTCACAGCACTAGTCCCTCTACAGAAGATTAAACTATAACATCTGACCGCACTTTGTTGAATACCTGGGTAAATGAAGAGGGTGAATACCTGTTGGGATGAATAGTGTGTTCCCCTGTTTGACGGAGCACTTGTAGCACATGTCCACCTGGTCCCCGAAGAACATCTCGTTCTGATTGGACGAGGAGCTCCAGCGCTCAAACAAGGCAAGGTTGGCTGGTGTGGGGGAGATCAGGTAGAAGATCTTCTCACCCTGAGACACACATAGACATTTATCTAACAGCGACAGTGCTCATTAATCAACCTTTCCGTTTCCACAGCAACGTAAAAGTGGAAGAGTTAAAAGGAGAAATCATTTTCATTCGTCAGGCAGACACAGCATTACAATGACGAACAAGGTAAAGGCAGGCATGGATATCATACATTCAAATGTTATATCTCTCTTAAGCCTCCTAGTGTATAACGCTCCAATTATGCATGTCAGCACAGCAGGAAGAATGCCCAGTTCCAACAGTCCCTTTCCACAATCTGTCCCAAATATGTCCCATAACTGCCCTCTTCTTACCCGTAGTACATGGTACCAGACAGAGGTACCTCCAAAGTCGATGTGGAAGTCTGTGTAGCTGTCCTTGACCCCCATGAGGCAGTACTTCTGGACGTTGGGCCGCTCAAACACTGACTCCTCAGGCCACAGGTTCTCCACCCACGACAGCTTCCTCACTATCTTTGGAGTCTCCACCAAATTTGACAGCCTGTGACAGACAATTGACATTTTGTATAATTAAACACCAAATTCAGTCCAAGTATTCTAGTATTTTATACAACTGCAACAACAGTACTTAAATAACTTTATTCTGCAAAAAAATATATTATACAGAGCCATATACTGTCTCTTTCTCTGTATGGCTCTGCCAAAACGTAACTTTTGTTCAACCAAATTATGTACTGGTGACAAGGAAGACCCCTAGAGAGCAATCCCAACAAATGAGTGGACTGAATTGACACAAGAACAAGCAGTGTACCTGGTCTCAGAGAACTCTAGGCTGATGACGTTGAGGACTCTGTCTCTGTTGGGGCTGTTGTAGTACTCTACAAAATCCCCTAGGCGCATCTTCAGGTCAGCTTGGCGACACACGTCAATCACATCAATCTCCCTGTCCGGACCTACAGACAACACACAATCAACAAACACACACATCTTGCTGCTCCCCAGACAGTGCTTTATTCCTGCACCATGATCATATACAACTTCTCAACTTCACGAGGTCTTGTTGTGTGAGATAATACAGTAGGTTACTCTGGTAACCTACAGTAGGTTACACTAGGTGACATCTCTTATGGTAATGGAATGTCAAGTTGAGACGTAACTAGTTAAAGAGCAGGTATGACAGAGCCTTGTACTGTATGTGGAGTGGCAGGTTTACATTGACATTTTGATCATTGAGCAGATGCCCTTATCTAGGGAGACTTAGAGTCAGTGCATTCAACTCTAAAAAGGTACCATAGAAGACAACATATAAATCAGTGTTCTATTTAATTATATGGGGAAAACAACCACATACAGTGAGGGAAAAAAGTATTTGATCCCCTGCTGATTTTCTACATTTGCCCACTGACAAAGAAATGATCAGTCTATAATGTTAATGGTAGGTTTATTTGAAGAGTGAGAGACAGAATAACAACAAAAAAATCCTGAAAAACGCATGTCAAAAATGTATTTGACCCCCTCTCAATCAGAAAGATTTCTGGCTCCCAGGTGTCTTTTATACAGGTAACGAGCTGAGATTAGGAGCACACTCTTAAAGGGAGTGCTCCTAATCTCAGCTTGTTACCTGTATAAAAGACACCTGTCCACAGAAGCAATCAATCAATCAGATTCCAAACTCTCCACCATGGCCAAGACCAAAGAGCTCTCCAAGGATGTCAGGGACAAGATTGTAGACCTACACAAGGCTGGAATGGGCTACAAGACCATCGCCAAGCAGCTTGGTGAGAAGGTGACAACAGTTGGTGCGATTATTCGCAAATGTAAGAAACACAAAATAACTGTCAATCTCCCTCGGCCTGGGGCTCCATGCAAGATCTCACCTTGTGGAGTTGCAATGGTCATGAGAACGGTGAGGAATCAGCCCAGAACTACACGGGAGGATCTTGTCAATGATCTCAAGGCAGCTGGGACCATAGTCACCAATAAAACAATTGGTAGCACACTATGCCGTGAAGGACTGAAATCCTGCAGCGCCCGCAAGGTCCCCCTGCTCAAGAAAGCACATATACAGGCCCGTCTGAAGTTTGCCAATGAACATCTGAATGATTCAGAGGAGAACTAGGTGAAAGTGTTGTGGTCAGATGAGACCAAAATGGAGCTCTTTGACATCAACTCAACTCGCCGTGTTTGGAGGAGGAGGAATGCTGCCTATGACCCCAAGAACACCATCCCCACCGTCAAACATGGAGGTGGAAACATTATGCTTTGGGGGTGTTTTTCTGCTAAGGGGACAGGACAACTTCACCGCATCAAAGGGACGATGGACGGGGCCATGTACCGTCAAATCTTGGGTGAGAACCTCCTTCCCTCAGCCAGGGCATTGAAAATGGGTCGTGGATGGGTATTCCAGCATGACAATGACCCAAAACACACGGCCAAGCAACAAAGGAGTGGCTCAAGAAGAAGCACATTAAGGTCCTGGTGTGGCCTAGCCAGTCTCCAGACCTTAATCCCATAGAAAATCTGTGGAGGGAGCTGAAGGTTCGAGTTGCCAAACGTCAGGCTCGAAACCTTAATGACTTGGAGAAGATCTACAAAGAGTGAGACAAAATCCCTCCTGAGATGTGTGCAAACCTGGTGGCCAACTACAAGAAACGTCTGACCTCTGTGATTGCCAACAAGGGTTTTGCCACCAAGTACTAAGTCATGTTTTGCAGAGGGGTCAAATACTTATTTCCCTCATTAAAATGCAAATCAATTTATAACATTTTTGACATGCGTTTTTCTGGATTTTTTTTTTGTTATTCTGTCTCTCACTGTTCAAATAAACCTACCATTAACATTATAGACTGATCATGTCTTTGTCAGTGGGCAAACGTACAAAATCAGCAGGGGATCAAATACTTTTTTCCCTCACTGTATCACAATAATTGCATGTAAAACCAAAATAGCCGTTATTTTACGGAGAGGTTTACCGATGTAGTGCTCTACGTCGTTTACTCCAAAGTTCCCCGGGGGAAGGTTCATGCCCAGGCCGTCCCTCCTGAGGACCATGACAGGAACACTGAATGAGCGCTCCTCCAGGAACTCCACTGTCAGCTGGGCCCCCGACGGCTTTAACAATACCTCATCAGCACTGACATACAAAGAGAGATTGGAAAATAGTGAGGGGCACATAGAAATAGAATAAGTGTCCCAGACTGCTGGAATATGACAGTACACTCAATATGGCTGATATGGTATTATGATGCAAAATTCGACTTCTATGGAGGGAACCAGGTCAGAACTGTAAAGGTAGAGAAAATTATTAAAGTGCCACACCACATGATACATTATCTGACAAAACAAAATGCAGATTTAAAAGCCATATTGTGGACCACTCAGCTAGTTGAGACACTATACTGTATGGACTCAAGCAGAAGGCTCTACGCATGAAATCATTTACATTGTAGGTGTCAGGTTGGGTTCTTTCTCTGCGAGGGGGTCATTTTAGGTGAATGTTCATGCTAGATATAGAGACAGTGTGGAAGAGAATGAACATGTATAGACATAATGTAATATGGGAGGTTTACCTTGGGAAGGTGCGGCTTCGTAGCTCTCTGACAAACTGTGGACTGCCTGTCTTTACCGGTCGACCAGAAGTGTCTCTTCCTCCAGCATCAGCCTGCTTGGTACCTCCACGCCGCTTCCTCACTGCGGAACATACAGGGGACAACAACAGACTTGCATTACAACCACGCTACTACTACTGTACTATTACTACTACTATTAGGCCTACATTACTACTACTAGTATTACTAAAGGCAGACCAGGTAATAAAACAGACAGAAGTGAGGAATTGGTATGTGTATTGGCATGTGTATTTCTGTAGAGCCTGGGTTTCCTAAACCTGTCCTAGAGTACCCAGATTCAAACAGGTCTGAAATATGGGTGAAATATAAAAAGATAGCCTGGGAAGCTAATTGAAAGAGACTGAGAGGGACTTACTGACAGAAGGCCCATGGCTGACCTGACAGTTGGGACAGTGGTACAGGTCAATCTCTGCTGCTTTGTCCTCCTCCACTCCAACACAACTAAACAAACAAAAATGTACTCATATCCTACTGTAAACAGTCAGCATTGATTTTACTGAGATACAGTTCATATGAGGAAATCAGTCAATTGGAATAAATTCATTAGGCCCTAATATATGGATTTCACATGACTGGGAATACAGATATGCATCTGTTGGTCACAGATACCTTTAAAAAAAATGGGCCTCTGGATCTCGTCATGGTACTTTTGTGCATTGAAATTGCCATCGATAAAATGCAATTCAGTTCGTTGTCCGTAGCTTATGCCTGCCCATACCATAACCCCACCGCCACCATGGGGCACTCGGTTGACAACGTTGACATCCGCAAACAGCTCGCCCACACGACGCCATACACGTTGTCTGTGGTTGTGAGGCCGGTTGGTCATTCTGCCAAATTCTCTAAAACGATGTTTGAGGTGGCTTATTGTAGAGAAATTAACATTCAATTATCTGGCAAAAGCTCTGGTGGACATTCCTGCAGTCAGCATGCCAATTGCACGCTCCCTCATAACTTGAGACATCTGTGGCATTGTGTGACAAAACTGCACATTTTAGAGTGGCCTTTTATTGTCCCCAGCACTAAGTGCACCTGTGTAATGATCATGTTGATTAATCAGCTTCTTGATATGCCATACCTGTCAGGTGGATGGATTATCTTGGCAAAGGAGAAATGCTCACTAACAGGGATGTAAACAAATTTGTGCACAACATTTGAGAGAAATAAGCTTTTTGTGCATATGGTACATTTCTGGGATATTTTACTGCAGCTCATGAAACATGGGACCAACACTTTACATGTTGTGTTTATATTTTTGTTCAGTGTAGTAACGCTCAATGACACTGAAATATAACTTACCTTCCATGGAACCAGTCTTGACATATGTCACACTCGATCATAAAGCGTGTGACATCGTAGGGCAGGCGACACAGGCAGTACACTGGAACCGATGCCATACTGTGAGTGTAAGCACTGCTCTGCGTCTGACTGACAGTTAGGCTTAAATCTACTCTGAGAATATGGCAGCACTACACTAGTTTGCAATTAGAATTAGTTTACGGTTGCATTGAGCTCTGAAAAAACATCTATAGTTCAAATGGTGTTTGTACTGAAGCAGCACAGGGCAGTGCCAGTAACAGGTTAACTGTGGTGTGTCACTTCACTGAGAATAGGTGCCTAGCTCACTGCTTGCTGTCACACACTGTGCATTGTATTCGCCATGATTAGGCACCTGTTGAAAGGGGAATAAGAGAGCACAAACATATCTGTCAAACAGTCTGCAGGGATGTCGGTGTTAAGTTGAAGATAGAAAAATAGGCTAGTCTAAGTAGTTTTACTGACTGAAAGTTTCTCACTGTAAGTTGCTATACTTGGCTCGCTAGCAGTGGGTCTGAATAGCAAGCTAGCCCCCGATTAGGCAATACAAAAGTTAGCTAGCTAATAATAACACTGCTAAACTGGCTAATACACGTATGGGGAGGGGTAGGTCTTGCAAAATGTCTGACAGCTCTCACATCTGAATTGGAAATCAGACAAATATAACTGGCTAAGTAGCTAGCTAACTAGTACTAGGAGGTAAAGTAACAGCCAGTTAGCAGCTTAGCTAGCTAACTATAGTAGCTAGATTTGTAAACACTACAGCCTGGCTAACAATGGCTTTTAGCATGTAACTATGCTAACGTAACTAGCTAACGTAATCTAACAAACGAAAAGCGCAGGTAAATGAACGTTACCGACAGATAGCAAGTTGGTAATAATATGTATTAGTTAAACGCTACCTATTCGTTGTTAGTTGTAATTCAAGACCACACAAAGCCAGTTGTTTATTCGCTACAGTAACTTAGTTGTTAGCACAACATTGGCTAAGCTTAGCAACTTAAGTTAGCTAAGTTAGCTGGTAACGTTAGCTAAACAGTGGATAAGTCTATATTTAGCTAAACATCTTGCATTTGATATTAGTTTATGGGGTAAATAGTATTGAATTACCTATAAGTAAGTTGTACGTTCAGAAAATCGGTCCGAAATAATTTCTTACCGGGATTTAAATTGTCTGGTTGCTGCAGAGGCCACCGGCCAAGCATTCGAAATTGGTTGAAAGGCTGAGGATCGATGAGGCCTTATTATGCAGCGCAAAGTATTGAAAAACAGACCTTACTGCATTGTCTTTTTCCCCAACAAATTATGTCCAGGTGTGAAGTGTAAGTCCCAAAATGTATATTGCAATGTTTGAAAAGATTAAAAGACCACTACATGAGCACTGGTGTTACTATAAACAACTCAGAAATACAGACATTTGTGATGGAGCAACGCCATTTCAAAGCACTCGCATAGACTGTCTGTAGTTGAAGGAACAATAAAGTTGCGCTAGTGAAGAACTACAGTAGCAGCACATCAAGACTTCAAATGTAGGCTTACACACAAAATGAAACAATATTTACATTACAGTTGAGTAATTAGTGTAATAACTAGCTATTACACTGTAATAACTGCAATAACCACCTGGATCTGAATTATACTGAACAGAAATATGCAACAATTTCAAAGATTTTAGAGTTACAGTTCATATAAGGAAATCAGTCAATTGAAATTAATTCACTAGGCCCTAATCTATGGATTTCACATGACTGGGAATACAGATATGCATCTGCTGGTCACAGATACCATTAAAAAAAAAAGTAGGGGTGTGGATCAGAAAACCAGTCAGTATCTGGTGTGACCACCATTTGCCTCATGCAGCACGACACATCTCCTTCGCATACAGTTGATCAGGCTGTTGATTTTGGCATGTGGAATGTTGTCCCACTCCTCTTCAATGGCTGTGCGAAGTTGCTGGATATTGGCGGGAACTGTAACATGCTGTCGTACACATCGATCCAGAGCATCCCAAACATGCTCAGTGGGTGACATGTCTGGTGAGTATGCAGGCCATGGAAGAATTTGACATTTTCAGCTTCCAGGAATTGTGTACAAATCCTTGCGACATGGGGCCGTGCATTATCCTGCTGAAACATAAGGTGATGGCGGCAGATGAATGGCAAGACAATGGGCCTCAGGATCTGGTAATGCTATCTCTGTGCATTCAAATTGCCATTGATAAAATGCAATTGTGTTCGTTATCCATAGCTTATGCCTGCCCATACCATAACCCCACTACCACCATGGGGCACTCTGTTCACAACGTTGACATCAGCAAACCGCTCGCCCACACGACACCATACACGTGGTCTGCGGTTGTGAGAACGGTTGGAAGTATGGCCAAATTCTCTAAAACAATGGAGGCGGCTTATGGTAGAGAAATTAACATTAAATTATCTGGCAACAGCTCTGGTGGACATTCCTGCAGTCAGCATGCCAATTGCACGCTACCTCGAAACTTGAGACATCTGTGGCATTGTGTTGTGTGACAAAACTGCACATTTTAGAGTGGCCTTTTATTGTCCCCAGCACAAGGTGCACCTGTGTAATGATCATGCTGTTTAATCAGCTTCTTGATATGCCACACCTGTCAGGTGGATGGATTATCTTGGCAAAGGAGAAATGCTCACTAACAGGGATGTAAACATATTTCTGCACAACATTAGAGAGAAATAAGCTTTTTGTGTGTATGGAACATTTTTGGGATGTTTTATTTCAGTTCATGAAAGATGGGACCAACACTTTACATGTTGCGTTATATTTTTGTTCAGTGTATATAAATTATTTCAACCATATGACAAGATTGGTGAAATTGAGGACAGGTGTGGGTCCAATAGAATAAGCAATAAAATGCCCATTAACAGTTTGATGTTTAACACCATTTATTTTGATTAGTTACAAAACATAAATAAAATCAACAATTTAATTAGTTACAATTTTACAGAGGCTAAATCATCAGAAACATACGTTTTATTTCTAGGTTTTTCTATTTAAATGTCCTTATAAATCATTGGTTCTCAGTCAGGTGTAATATCAGGACTCTCGAGTGTGTGTTAGATGAGCCCAATGGCCTAAAGGTCTAGGCCTACCCTTTGATGGTGTTTCATTGTTTGTCCAGTGAATCAAGTTTCCGTAGAGATAAAAACAAGTTGATACAGTATCTCTATTATTAGAACTACACTGACAAAACCGCTCACAATTGAATTACTCTGTTTCAACACAAAGTCTGAGAGGAATAGAATATATCCTGGGGGGACTCCATCAACAGAGATGAGAAGCAATGTTTTCTGGTGTCAGATAACCTCAGACATATATTTTAAATATTGATCAATAGAACACGATTTTACATTTTGTACAACCCCATTTCAAAATACAAAAATAATATTTTCTTCTTTTAGATTACATTTTGGTAACACTTCAGGGCGAGTTCCACATTTCCTTTTCATGAATATCATCAAAGCTGTGACATATGGTCAACATGTTAGTATTGACTTGACAGCACAGTAACTTCCTCCCCTCCACTAATAATCATCAATTATTTTACTGTGAAAATGTGGGTTGTCTCATAAAAAAACAAACACATAAATACCGAAAACCATTATGTTAAACTCTATATTCATATGCAATTGGTAAAGTGTTTAGTTTGTGAACAACCATAGGCGCCAACTGTTTTAGCTCCCTAATAGAAATTTGAATGTTTTGTTTTTCCTCCTTCCACTTTCAGTAGTTTTAGTGAGTTTTCAACTCACTATGAAGCAGTCTGTCACATATGCTGTACAATCTCCTCTTTGCTGTGGCACAAAATCTCTCTATCATTAGAAATATAAATAAAAACAGAAATACTGCTTTAACTATAAAACATGTTGTACCAAGTAAGCTTCAGAAAATGTATTTATCAATGGTCAAATTTGTATATATGGCTAAATGCAATGACAATTGTACTGTATCTCATTGTCCATGTATCTGTCACTCTCTGGACTAAGTTGAGAAATGGAAGTCAGTAAACCTTTTGCAGCGTGCATGCAGCACTAAACAGGCCCTTATAGTCTAATTTACAAAATAGTAATTCACACTTAAAATAACTTTTGTTTTTAAGGACAAAAATAGTTCACTAATAATGAAATCCAGAAACAGTACTCTGGCTTGACAAATAGCCCAGTGAGGCTCTCACAATGCTGTTTAACAACAAACTATGGCTATGTCCCAAATGGTACCCTCCTTTACAAGATTAGGGTGCCATTTGGTACGCACTCAATAACTATGGCCTTTATGGGTCCGAGCAGCACTCACTTAACTGTGACTTCTTTGACGTCTTGAGGAGAGAGAACCAATACATGATGGGCTCTATAGGTAAACAATGTGGTACAGTAACAGCTAATGTGAGAGTCTGCTTTCTATGGAAGTAAAGTAGTGGGGATACGATTTGTGATGCAGTGCAGCAATATTACAAAGCTTTTGTCACACAAAAGAAAAAAAAACTGTCACACATACAGTAAAGTATTAATTCTAAAAGGCAATATGAGGACAGCCCATATACAGTTACATGGTTTCCCCATTCCATTAAATTACTTGGCAGTTTGTTTTCTTACCAGTTTTCCTTGTATGACACATTTGATATGCAGTGTGGAGATTGGTAGTGAGGAAATTAAACATTTCCCTAAAACAAATGTATTTATTTTAGCTCAAATAAAACAGTGATTTATTTCTGATCAATAATTTACCTCAGTTTATTGTTGTGCACAGCAGCAGACATGAGAAATATAAGCACAAGTGTAAGCAGATTGCAGGCAAGTCAAGGTACGTTGTAGCCATAAGGTCATGCAGTCTTAGTGTTTTGATCAGTGTTTATTCAGTTAGACTTCAATGAAAGCTCACTGAACATATTCATAAATTAAATCAAAATATCAGCATATATTGATCACAATTTAATCATGTTACTCATCAACATGTTATTTTAAATCTTCTTTAAATCTACTGGTTACCACTTTTTATCAATGTAAAAAATGATAATACACAAAGTACATGCCTTGCCCGTGCACTACACTGTACAACAGTGTGCTTAGTGGCATTGTGGTAGTGATAATAGCCAGGTAGCACCATTATTACCATGCTCTGTGGTGTTACTGTAACATGCTGTTGTTGCAACTGCTATATATCTCAATGGTAACCTGTTGAAACATTTGTGCTATATTCATGTAAGATGTCAGTTAATTCGTAAATGTCTGGTTGGTTATTGTCAACGTGCTTCTAGAAAATTATTTGGTTAAACGCCACTACAGACAAATCTGGACGTTACAGGATGATAAAAAATTTAGATGACAGTTACTAATTGCACTTTTAAAATTCATAGTCCTTTTCAATATAAGTAAGCATTGACAAATAAAAACAAAAAAAATATCTCAATACATAATAATGTCAATGTTTTGTGTTCCTTCTTGTCTCTGCTTGGGAGGAAGAGTTCAGGGTCTAGTTGGATTTTAAAAATAACATGACCATTACTTGGTGTCAAAACACACAAGGAATATGTACTGAGAAAATCAATAGCAACACAAACACACACACGCGCACACACAAATACACACATTACCTAATTTTGTACATCTCAAACACACCAACATCATGACCCCCCAGAGTTCCATATTGCCCTCTGTCTGTACATACTCTGTCTACATAGACTCAACCATCTATCACATTCACTTCCCATCTCATATTTACAAATATACTGACATCCATTTTCTCATTCTCAGACATTACCTCTCATAACATACACACTCTCAAACTTTCAACATGGTTTTTGCTCATCCATCATCTCCATCTTTTTTCTACTTCCCTCGCTCCATCATAATCGACCTCACTCTTCCCCTCTTTCATTTTCTTCTTCTTTTCACTGCTGTCCCAGAGGAAGAGTGGAGGTTGGGGGCATGGGGTGAAGTTTGGCACTGGATGGTAGAGCAGCAGCAGAGCAGGAGGAGGAGCAGGAAGAAGAGGAGGAGCAGAAACAGAATGTCCCTCCGGGGCCACCGGGGGCAGTAACAGCAGCAGCAGCGCCAGTGTCTATGGGCCCCACTACTGCATTGTTGCTAGACCCAGGAATCAGACACCCAGGCTGAGCTAGGGCCAGCTGAGACGACGGGGCCATCTGGGGCATCTGGGAAGGCAACAGAGGTTTATTCTGAGGTGGGGCTCCTACACCTACATGGGGCTGCTGGGGTATATGTTGTTGCCCTGTCTGTGGCTGTACAGGAGACAGTAGTGGAGTCTGTAGGGGCTGTTGTTGTTGGTGTAGAGGGGATTGCTGCAAGGGCTGTGTCTGTAATGGGTGAGCAGGCTGGGCTTGCTGGAGATGTAAACTTTGCTGTAGCTGAGGGACTGGAGGCATGTGTGTTTGTTGTTGTTGTGGTCCTGGTGGTCCCCCCACCCCGCTCCACTGGCTCAGGCTCCCCCCAGTGGTGTACTGAGCTGGGGCTGGAGCAGTGAAGCTGGAGGGGGCTGGGGAGGCCTGGGGGTTCAGTGGTGCCACAGGGAACCGACCCGGAGGAGCCACCTGGAAGGAAGACATCACTAATGTGAAACACAATAACGACATCCAATGTTTTTTGGTAGCTTGCAGTCATACACTGAATTGTACAAGTGTGTACACAATACATTGGCAATGGAATCCTGTACATGGGCAATCAAAATGCACTGTATACGTTTAGGTCACGAGAGGCCTGGCGCTTTACCTCTGTGGCCTGTGGCCACCCTCCCAACTCCTGCACCTGCTGAATCTGCTTGATCTGATTGAGCGAGGGCTTGGGAGCGGCGGGACCCACTGTCTCCTTCGTCCAATCATCAACCAGTCTGTGCAAGTCATCTGTGAACATGCTCTTCCTGGCACCCTGTGAGGGAGGACTGTGGTCTGAGAAGAGAGAAAGGGGAGATATTCAATCAAACACTACCTATTCAGAGGAAGAGGAATAGTCTTAAGTTTCGGTGAAACCTTTACCTCTTTTGGTAGTCAGTAGGGTGGTGTGTTCTGGGTTGCAGTATGGTGGTAGTTTGCTCTGTTCTCCCCCTGAGAAACTACTGGACTGCTGTATACCTTCAGCAGAGACAACAGACAGTCAGATATCACATATATCACCTTCAGTGAGAGAGAGATGGAGAAAGAGAGATGAGAGAGAGAGGGAAAGAGAAAACAGAGAGTGAGAAGACAAAGAGAGAAGACCAACAGGGAGAGAGGGGGAGAGAGAAAGAAATACACAGAGATCAAGATTGAAAGACCGAGAGTAGACCCAGAAAGAGAGATTGGTTACCGGGGTGACCAGCGAGTCCATTATTGTCCATGTGGGAGTGGGGTCTGGGCCGGAGCTTGGCTTTGGCCGGCCTGGGCCTGCGGGGGGAGAGGGCTGGGGATCCTGAGGGGAAGGCTGGGGTGCGGGGCAGGGTCTGCCGGTGGTCTTTGAGGGACCGCAGCTGCCTGTACAGCTCCTGGAGCTCTCTGTTCTGCTGAGCGTGGAGGGACATCACCTCCTTGATGTGCCTGGGGAAGAAAGGTAAAATACAGGGGGAGGAATGGAGGTGGGAGGAAAACACATGAAGAGAATGGGGTTTGGGAGATCATTAATGGCAGAGAGACAGAGTTGAGGAGGAGAGGAGTTGAGGATAGAAGAGAGTGATGACATGTTGAGAATGTAGACCGGCAGGGATGGAATGGAGTGGGTGGGAGAAAGAGTAAAAATTGGTGAGTCAAAATAGAAGAAAAAACAATAACTTGAATGATACTGAAAATAAACCCTGTCCCTTCTTTCCCCTCCCTGTCTCCCAGATGGGTCATTGACCGCACAAAATGAATTCCCAAAAACAATAAAGTATTCTATTGTATCATCTCACTTCTCTCTCAGCGTGTGCAGCTCCTTCCTCAGGTCTTCATCCTCCATCTCACTCTCCTCATCATCGCTACTGCCCAGGGGAGAGAGACCATGCCCGTGACCATGTCCTCGGGTTGGGTGGCTCAGTGCTGGGTTCCTCTTTCCCGCCTCCCTCTCTCCCTCCTTCCCTCGGGCCCTCCTCCTCTCTCTCTCCAGGTCAGGAGACACAGGGGAGCTGTCAGTCAGTTCTTTCTCCTCTTTCCGGGCCTCCGTCTGGGTCACAGAGAAGCGCCCCACTTTCCTGTGGCTGCTGCCCGTACCACAGGCTGCCTCTTTGGGGGGAGAGGCCTCAGGGGGCTGGGGCACTGGGGTGACCTTGGGAAAAGACAAAGTGGGAGTCATTAACTTTGTGTGTGTTCCTCCTCCTCCAGCACATTCTGATATTTAACCAGGAAGTGATAATCAGGAAGTTCTATGCACTTAATAGATCTGAAAGAATGTAATAGGCCTGGTAGTAGTACAATCTTGTCCTCTCGTACACTGGGTGGCAATTTTCCCATATTGCTTACACCTATCTAATCTAACTACACAGGTGTCTAGGGGCTGTTTCTAGATGGGCCGTACCTGAAATCGTCCCTTGAGTGAGTGGGGAGGGTTGGAGGAAGCCCTCTCGCTCTCCTCTCTGACTGCCTGACTGCCACTAGAGTGACCGTCTGGTAAAAAAAGGGGTAATGAAAAACAACAGGGGGAGAGAGAGAGAGGAGGACATAGAGAGACAAGGACACGGAGACAGAGACACACATGGGTATAGATACAGACATGAGGACAATATATATAGACAAACACACAGAAATAGGCACACACAGAGGCACACACCAACAAGCACAGGGATAAGACGTGGACACAGACACCACAAACACAGAAAAAAAAAAATAAATTAATCCCATGACATCACATTATCAGACAGCAACCCTGAGACTACACAAAAAAGCATTCTATTGTATACATGCTTACAGTTCATGGATGACAATGGGAGTGTGTGTGTGACATTACATTGATTTAGAAAACTATAGCATTTTTACAATGTTTTACTGTCCTTTTCTTACAGTGACAGGAACAAGCATAAAAGCGTCATAATGATAAAGATAACTTAAAAATAACATCTACAGTAAAAACATGCTTAAATAAACATAAGATGTTATGGGGTGTGGGGAGGGTTTGTATAAAGGTCAGATGAGATAGAAATGCATTTTAGGGAGGGGTCAGTTAGTTGAATGTATGCATCAGTATACTGTACCCCCCACCACACACACACACAGACACACCCACAATGCACCTGTACCATATCAGACCCCACACACTAACATCACACGTCAATCTGGATGAATGAATTTATCCACAATTTAGATTAACAGTGATGTTCTCGTTTATGGTGTATGATATTCTAAACAGAAAGTGTGTATATGGATATGTTGTATCATTTGAGATATCAATGTAAAAATGTACAGCTTGGTATGAATGCTGCTGATGTTATGGTATTACACATTATGTATGATATTACATCACCATATATACACACATATGTAGAACATAAGGTATGTCAAGTGCACATACACTACATGGCCAAATGTATGTGGACACCTGCTCATCGAACATCTCATTCCAAACTCATGGGTATAAAATATGGAGTTGGTCCCCCCTTTGCTGCCATAACAGCCTCCACTCTTCTGGGAAGGCCTTCCACTAGATGTTGGAACATTGCTGCGAGGAATTGCTTCCATTCAGCCACAAGAGCATTAGTGAGGTCGGGCACCGATGTTGGGCGACTAGGCCTGGCTCGCAGTCAGCGTTCCAATTCATCCCAAAGGTGTTCGATGGGGTTGAGGTCAAGGCTCTGGGCAGGCCAGTCAAGTTCTTCCACACCGATCTCGGCAAACCATTTCTGTATGGACCTCGCTTTGTGCACAGGGGCATTGTCCTGCTGAAACAGGAAAGGGCCTTCCCCAAACCTTTGCTACAAAGTTGGAAGCACAGAATCATCTAGAATGTCATTGTATACCGTAGTGTTAAGATTTTCCTTCAGTGGAACTAAGGAACCATGAAAAACAGCCCCAGACCATTATTCCTCCTCCACCAAACATTACAGTTGGCACTATGCATTCGGGCAGGTAGTGTTCTCCTGGCATCCGCCAAACCCAGGTTTGTCTATCGGATTGCCAGATGGTGAAGTGTGATTCATCACTACAGAGAACGTGTTTCCACTGCTCCTGAGTCCAATGGCGGCTTTACACCACTCCAGCCAAAGCTTGGCATTGCAAATGGTGATCTTAGGCTTGTGTGCGGATGCTCGGCCATGGAAACCCATTTAATGAAGCTCCATACGAACAGTTCTTGTGCTGACGTTGCTTCCAGAGGCAGTTTGGAACTCGGTAGTGAGTGAATTTGAAGGGGTGTCCACATACTTCTGGCCATGTAGTGTAAAATGAAAATACACATAACTAAACTACAGTGAAACACACTAATATACAAGAATAGCAAGTCTGCTAAACATATGCAGTAACGTAAGCTGCTTACAAAGCATATAAGTAAAAGAGTATTTATACATGATCCCGCCACTCACGGTCACTTATCGCTCGTATTCGCGGATTTTCATAATGCTTTTTTTTTTGGTGCATTGTGCTTGCATCTGAAAAAACTCCCAGCTTCTTGTATATCTACGAATTGCTATCATTTTGTCGTCTCGTCTTATTGTATACTAAACTTGGCATTTACATTAATGCCATATCTGTAATACTCTTCTAAACCCATAATGTCGACGAAACGGCCTACACGTGAGTCACTGTATTTGTATACATGTAATAGTTGCTAATTGTAAAAAAAAAAGTTTTCTATTTCGCGGATTTCACTTATCGCGGGTCATTTTCGGAACGTAACCCCCGCGATAAACGAGGGATTACTGTATATATATATATATATATATATATATATATATACATACACTACCGGTCAAAAGTTTTAGAACACCTACTCATTGAAGGGTTTTTCTTTATTTTTACTATTTTCTACATTGTAGAATAATAGTGAAGACATCAAAACTATAAAATAACACATATGGAATCATGTAGTAACCAAAAAAGTGTTAACAAATCAAAATCTATTTTATATTTGAGATTCTTCAAATAGCCACCCTTTAGCTTGATGACAGCTTTGCAGACTCTAAGCATTCTCTCCACCAGCTTCACCTGGAATGCTTTTTCAACAGTCTTGAAGGAGTACCCACATATGCTGAGCACTTGTTGGTTGCTTTTCCTTTACTCTGCCATCCGACTCATTCCAAACCATCTCAATTGGGTTGAGGTTGGGGGATTGTGGAGGCCAGGTCATCTGATACAGCACTCCATCACTCTCCTTCTTGGTCAAATAGCCCTTACACAGCCTGGAGGTGTGTTGGGTCATTGTCCTGTTGAAAAACAAATGATAGTCCCACTAAACCCAAACCAGATGGGATGGTGTATCGCTGCAGAATGCTGTGGTAACCATGCTGGTTAAGTGTGCCTTGAATTCTAAATAAATCACAGACATTGTCAACAGCAAAGCACCCCCACACCATAACACCTCCTCCTCCATGCTTTACGGTGGAAAATAAACATGCAGAGATCATCCGTTCCCCCACACGCGTCTCACAAAGACACAGCGGTTGGAACCAAAAATCTCCAATTTGGACTCCACCGGTCTAATGTCCATTGCTCATGTTTCTTGGGTCAAGCAAGTCTCTTCTTCTTATTGGTGTCCTTTAGTAGTGGTTCCTTTGCAGCAATTCGACCATGAAGGCCTGATTCCTCTGAACAGTTTATGTTGAGATGTGTCTGTTACTTGAACTCTGTGAAGCATTTATTTGGGCTTCAATTTCTGTGGCTGGTAACTCTAATTAACTTATCCTCTGCAGCAGAGGTAACTCTGTGTCTTCCATTCCTGTGGCGGTCCTCATGAGAGCCAGTTTCATCATAGCGCTTGATGGTTTTTGCGACTGCACTTGAAGAAACTTTCAAAGTTCTTGGAATTTTCCGTATTGGCTGACCTTCATGTCTTAAAGTAATGATGGACTGTCGTCTTATTTGAGCTGTTCTTGCCATAATATGGACTTGGTCATTTACCAAATAGGGCTATGGAAGAAATGGAAGAAAACTAAACTCCCTGCCGACCTGGCATCTTTTCACTCCCTCCTCTCTACATTTTCTTCATCTGTTTCTGCTGCTAAGGCCACTTTCTACCACTCTAAATTCCAAGCATCTGCCTCTAACCCTAGGAAGCTCTTTGCCACATTTTCCTCCCTCCTGAATCCCCCCCCTCCTCTCTCTCTGTGGATGACTTCGTCAACCACTTTGAAAAGAAGGTTGACGACATCCGATCCTCGTTTGTTAAGTCTAATGACACTGCTGGTCCTACTCACACTGCCCTACCCTATGCTTTGACTTCTTTCTCCCCTCTCTCTCCAGATAAAATCCTGCGACTTGTGACTGCAGGCCGCCCAACAACCTGCCCGCTTGACCCCATCCCCTCCTCTCTTCTCCAGACCATCTCCGGTGACCTTCTCCCCTACCTCACCTCGCTGATCAACTCATCCTTGACCGCTGGCCATGTCCCTTCCGTCTTCAAGAGAGCGAGAGTTGCTCCCCTTCTCAAAAAACCAACACTCGATCCCACTGATGTCAACAACTACAGACCAGTATCCCTTCTTTCTTTTCTTTCCAAAACTATTGAGCGTGCCGTCTTTAGCCAACTCTCTTGCTATCTCTCTCAGAATGACCTTCTTGATCCAAACTAGTCAGGTTTCAGGACTGGTCATTCAACTGAGACTGCTCTTCTCTGTGTCACGGAGGCTCTCCGCACTGCTAAAGCTAACTCTCTCTCCTCTGCTCTTGTCCTTCTAGACCTGTCTGCTGCCTTTGATACTGTGAACCATCAGATCCTCCTCTCCACCCTCTCCGAGCTGGGCATCTCCGGCGCGGCTCACTCCTGGATTGCGTCCTACCTGACCGGTCGCTCCTACCAAGTGGCGTGGCGAGAAGCTGTCTCCGCACCACGTGCTCTCACCACTGGTGTCCCCCAGGGCTCAGTTCTAGGCCCTCTCCTTTTCTCCCTATACACCAAGTCACTTGGCTCTGTCATATCCTCACATGGCCTCTCCTATCATTGCTACGCTGACGATACACAACTAATCTTCTCCTTTCCCCCTTCTGATAACCAGGTGGCGAATCGCATCTCTGCATGTCTGGCAGACATATCAGTATGGATGACGGATCACCACCTCAAGCTGAACCCTGGCAAGACGGAGCTGCTCTTCCTCCCGGGGAAGGACTGCCCGTTCCATGATCTCGCCATCACGGTTGACAACTCCGTTGTGTCCTCCTCCCAGAGTGCGAAGAGCCTTGGCGTGACCCTGGACAACACCCTGTCGTTCTCCGCTAACATCAAGGCGGTGACCCGCTCCTGCAGGTTCATGCTCTACAACATTCGGAGAGTACGACCCTGCCTTACACAGGAAGCGGCACAGGTCCTAATCCAGGCACTTGTCATCTCCCGTCTGGATTACTGCAACTCGCTGTTGGCTGGCCTCCCTGCCTGTGCCATTAAACCCCTACAACTCATCCAGAATGCCGCAGCCCGTCTGGTGTTCAACCTTCCCAAGTTCTCTCACGTCACCCCCCCTCCTCCGCACACTCCACTGGCTTCCAGTTGAAGCTCGCATCCGTTACAAGACCATGGTGCTTGCCTATGGAGCAGTGAGGGGAACGGCACCTCTGTACCTTCGGGCTCTGATCAGTCCCTACACCCAAACGAGGGCATTGCGTTCATCCACCTCTGGCCTGCTGGCTCCCCTTCCTCTGCGGAAGCATAGTTCCCGCTCAGCCCAGTCAAAACTGTTCGCTGCTCTGGCACCCCAATGGTGGAACAAGCTCCCTCACGACGCCAGGACAGCGGAGTCACTCACCACCTTCCGGAGACATTTGAAACCCCACCTCTTTAAGGAATACCTGGGATAGGATAAAGTAATCCTTCTATCCCCCCCCCCCAAAAAAAAAAATTGTAAAGTGGTTATCCCACTGGCTATAGGGTGAATGCACCAATTTGTGAGTCGCTCTGGATAAGAGCGTCTGCTAAATGACGTAAATGTGCCCTTGAGCAAGGCACTTAACCCTAATTGCTCCTGTAAGTCGCTCTGGATAAGAGCGTCTGCTAAATGACTAAAATGTAAATGTAAATGTAATGGCTATCTTCTGTATACCCCCCGCAACCTTGTCACAACACAACTGATTGGCTGAAACGCATTAAGAAGGAAAGAAATTCCACAAATTAACTTTTAAGAAGGCACACCTGTTAATTGAAATGCATTCCAGGTGACTACGTCATGAAGCTGGTTGAGATAATGCCAAGAGTGTGCAAAGCTGTCTTCAAGGCAAAGGGTGGCTATTTGAAGAATCTCAAATATAAAATATATTTTGTTTTGTTTAACATATGTGTTATTTCATAGTTTTGATCTCTTCACTATAATTCTACAATGTAGAAAATAGTAAAAATAAAGGAAAACCTTTGAATGAGTAGGTGTTCTAAAACTTTTGACCGGTAGTGTACAGTGAGGGAAAAAAGTATTTGATCCCCTGCTGATTTTGTACGTTTTCCCACTGACAAAGACATGATCAGTCTATAATTTTAATGGTAGGTTTATTTGAACAGTGAGAGACAGAATAACAACAAAAAAATCCTGAAAAACACATGTCAAAAATGTTATGAATTGATTTGCATTTTAATGAGGGAAATAAGTAATTGACCCCTCTGCAAAACATGACTTAGTACTTGGTGGCAAAACCCTTGTTGGCAATCACAGAGGTCAGACGTTTCTTGTAGTGGGCCACCAGGTTTGCACACATCTCAGGAGGGATTTTGTCCCACTCCTTTTTGCAGATCTTCTCCAAGTCATTAAGGTTTCGAGGCTGACGTTTGGCAACTCGAACTTTCAGCTCCCGCCACAGATTTTCTATGGGATTAAGGTCTGGAGACTGGCTAGGCCACTCCAGGACCTTAATGTGCTTCTTCTTGAGCCACTCCTTTGTTGCCTTGGCCGTGTGTTTTGGGTCATTGTCATGCTGGAATACCCATCCACGACCCATTTTCAATGCCCTGGCTGAGGGAAGGAGGTTCTCACCCAAGATTTGACGGTACATGGTCCATCGTCCCTTTGATGCGGTGAAGTTGTCCTGTCCCCTTAGCAGAAAAACACCCCCAAAGCATAATGTTTCCACCTCCATGTTTTACGGTGGGGATGGTGTTCTTGGGGTCATAGGCAGCATTTCTCCTCCTCCAAACATGGCCAGTTGAGTTGATGCCAAAGAGCTCGATTTTGGTCTCATCTGACCACAACACTTTCACCCAGTTCTCCTCTGAATCATTCAGATGTTCACTGGCAAACTTCAGACGGGCCTGTATATGTGCTTTCTTGAGCAGGAGGACCCTGCGGGCGCTGCAGGATTTCAGTCCTTCACGGCGTAGTGTGTTACCAATTGTTTTCTTGGTGACTATGGTCCCAGCTGCCTTGAGATCATTGACAAGATCCTCCCGTGTAGTTCTGGACTGATTCCTCACCGTTCTCATGATCATTGCAACTCCATGAGGTGAGAACTTGCATGGAGCCTCAGGCCGAGGGAGATTGACAGGTCTTTTGTGTTTCTTTCATTTGCGAATAATCGCACCAACTGTTGTCACCTTCTCACCAAGCTGCTTGGCGATGGTCTTGTAGCCCATTCCAGCCTTGTGTAGGTCTACAATCTTGTCCCTGACATCCTTGGAGAGCTCTTTGGTCTTGGCCATGATGGAGAGTTTGGAATCTGATTGATTGATTGCTTCTGTGGACAGCTGTCTTTTATACAGGTTACAAACTGAGATTAGGAGCACTCCCTTTAAGAGTGTGCTCCTAATCTCAGCTCGTTACCTGTATAAAAGACACCTGGGAGCCAGAAATCTTTCTGATTGAGAGGGGGTCAAATACTTATTTCCCTCATTAAAATGCAAATCATTTATAACATTTTTGACATGCTTTTTTCTGGATTTTTTTGTTATTCTGTCTCTCACTGTTCAAATAAACCTACCATTAAAATTATAGACTGATCATGTCTTTGTCAGTGGGAAAACGTACAAAATCAGCAGGGGATCAAATACTTTTTTCCCTCACTGTATATATACACACTACCGTTCAAAAGTTTGGGGTCGCTTAGAAATGCCCTTGTTTTCAAAAGAAACATTTTTGTCCATTAAAATAACATCAAATTGATCAGAAATACAGTGTAGACATTGTTAATGTTGTAAATGGCTATTGTAGCTAAAAACGCCTGAAAGTGTTTTATGTACACTCCCCTACGTATTTATTTGGACAGTGAAGCTAAAACTTTTAATTTGGCTCTATACTCCAGCATTTTGGATTTGAGATCAAATGTTTTATGAGGCGACAGTACAGAATGTCACCTTTTATTTGAGGTTATTTTCATACATATCAAATAAAAGGTGACATTGTGTACAGTCACCTCATATAAACATCTGATCTCAAATGCTGGAGTTAATAAAAAGTTTTAGCTTCACTGTCCAAATAAATACATAGGGGAGTGTTTGTGTGTACATTATGTGTGTGTCATTGAACCATGGTGTATGTGCGAGTGTGTGTGTGGTGCTACTCTGTGCCAGCAGGTGGGGTGGTTGGTGTGGTGAGGGCAGTGTTTGGTGTGTGGAAACTGACTGGGCAGTGGCCTACAGAGCAGAGGGTGGGGCGGGGCTGTGGTGGGCGTCCTAGCTTGGGGGCTGCAGATCCAGGTGTACCTCCAGAGTTACAGCAGTAAGCTTATCTGCACCATGGACATATCAGCCTCCTGATGTTGCCCATCTCTTCCCTCCTTCCTTCCTACACTCTGTACCATTTTCCTCCTCATCCCCCCCTTCTCTGGCTCCTCTTCTCTACGCTTCTTTCCACTATTCCATCCTCATGCCAAGGGCGAGTTATCCCCCATGCAAACAAAAAAAGATTGCCAAAATAAATTTAGTAAAGCCATTCTCCAAAACAATTCAAAAGAGTAATGTATCATGTAGTGACATCGTCGACATTACACTATACTGTACAACAAAGACAATCACATTACAACAGAAACAAGATACAATTACTAATTACTTGTTAATGAATAAACAATCAAATAATTAATGTCAAAGATTAGCAGAAATAACACAACTAGGTTACACTAAACATTCTGTATCTACCCATTTGTATTTGAGATAAACACCCCCACCAACCAACACCCCATTCACCCTCTCTCTCTCACTCTCTCTAAGAACACGCTACCTTGCTGGACTCTGGGCTTCTTGAACAAGCTGGCGGAGTGGCGCAGTTTGCATGCCCAGCTTTTGAATTTGCGAGTCCAGGATTTCTTGCTAACGGGATTTCTGATACTAGGACATGTCAGGTTTAGGCCAAAATATCCACCTCCTGCATTGTGCTGCGGCGGCGATCCAGGGCCCAGGGGGATGGGGTGCAGATTTGGGGGCCACGTAGTGACTTCTCCTGGAGTACTGGTGTCAGAGTGAGGGGGGGCAGCCTGGAGGGGGAGGGGGAGGGGATAGGTAACATAGCGACATGGTAAGAGTGGCTGCCAAAATGGGGGGTAGAGACATTCGGAGAGAAAAAAAAATGCTGGAATATCATAAACTTACATAACAACAACCGTATCATTGAAAAATACATGCATCTATTCATTCATAAGAACAAGGCAATCGAAGTAGTGATCTTTACATAAAGTTTCAGATAAAAGTCAATCAAACACTATTCAATGTTTCAATTCAACACCCAGATATGTGGACCTTACTTACAAAAATGGTGGGTTCTCCAGGGATAGGTGGGGGCCCGGCCGAGTCTCCGTGTGGGGGGGTCAGGAGGGAGGCGGAGGAGAGAGACGGGCCAGGCTGCTGCTCCACCGGGCCTGCTGTTGGAGCCCCCCCCCCCACACCTCTCTCCCTTTCCAGGTCAGAAGAGGTGGAGGAGGAGCGGGAGGTGGTGGAGGAGGTGGTGGAGGAGGAGGAGTGAGGAGAGGTGTCTGAGGACGACAACGCGGGAGGAGGGAAGGAGGAGGGATGGAGCGAGTGCGGCTCCGAGGATTCGTCCCCTCCTGCCGATGTCGAGGCTGCTGACACTGCGGTGGGACCAGCGGTAGAAGCCACAGCAGCTCCCCCCGTCACAGCTGCCCCACTACTATACTCCTGATACAACAAGTTCCTCAGCTTTTCATCCAGAGTCTTAATGTGGTTGTCTACAAACTCGATTTTGGGAGGGCCCTCGCTGTCCGACTCAGCCACAGAGGATGGCTGGACTGGTGAGGGGGTCAGGGTGAGGGAGAGGGGCGGTAGGGGGGCATCAGCGGTTGTGTTAATGTTGAGGGGCAGAGATAAGTCTGAGGAGGGGTGTAGAGGGGCAGAGTGACTGCCTGTATCGTCTGTCACACTGGCCTCCTCTGTAGACCGTTCCCACTCTGACTGTTGGAATGACGGCTGCTTCTGGAGAGGAGCCTGCTGGGACACCTGCTGATGCTGAGGGTTAACCTCGTGTTGTTTTTGTTGTTGATGGACCTGCTGTTGCAGCTGTTGTTGTTGTTGTGTCTGTTCTAGAGGGAGTTGTTGAGCCATGTTTAGTGGCTGTAATGATTGTTGTTGGACATACTGTTGGTTCACTGACAGCTGCTGCTGCTGTTGTTGTTGTTGTTGTTGTTGTTGCGGTTGTTGTTGTTGCGGTTGTTGTTGGAGCATTTGCTGTTGCTGCTGAATATGTAGTGCCTGTTGCAGAGCTAACTGTTGTTGATGCTGTGGCTGCAGGTCAATCGCTGCCTGTTGCTGTGAAATGACTGGTTGTTGTTGTTGCGGTGGTGGTGGCAACTGGTTTGGCTGTGGCTGTTGCATGTGTAACTGTGTGTTGTACTGTGCGTTCTGCATTTGGACAGGCATTTGCTGAGTCTGTTGTTGTAGTTGGGGCTGCAAATGTACATCAGACTGCTGTTGTTGTTGTGGCTGTAGTTGTTGCTGTTGCAGCATCTGCAACTGTTGAATAGATTGTTGCAATGCATGCTGCTGCTTCTGCTGCTGCAGTTGTATCTGCTCTTGGTACTCTTGCTGTTGTTGCTGTGCCTGTTGGAGTTGCACAGTCTTCAGGTGTTGTTGCTGATGTTCTAGGAGCGGTTGCTGCTGCTGTACCCGTTGCACTGTTTGGAGCTGAGGCTGGGCTGCCATGCACTGCATCTGAGGCAGAGTGTGTTGCTGCTGCTCCAGACCTGCATGGCTAACAGGAGGAGAGGCCACGGCTCCCGACACAGCCACTGGAGGCTGGATTGGGCCAGTGGATGAGTGGTCCCCTCCAGACACACACTGTCCTAGGGTGGCCACCTTTCCTACATCACCCAGGCTTGGTCCTTGGCCCTGGCTCACCATAGAGCTGCCACTAGTAGCTGGGGAGGTCAGAGATTCAGTTAGAGAGGGGGTGGTAGTGGGAGCGATGGTGGCAGAAGCAGCTACCATGGTAGGAACTGGGAGGTTGGCAGCGGTGCTTGAGACATTGGTTGGGATGGAGGATGTTGCTGTGGTGGCACTGGAAGTTTGGTCAATGGAAGCCTGCAGGTCTAGGCCTAGGCCAGCTGAGGCAGTGGGGACTGAGTGTGGTTCTGAGGCAACAACTGCACTAGCGAGACTAGAAGCCAGAGCAGAAACCCTACTGTCAGAGGCAGCAGAGGCAGTTGTGTCAGGAGTGGGGGCAGCAGGGGCTGGGGGGGCAGACATGGAGGCAGGGGCAGAAACGGTGGAGGCGGAGGCATGGGGGGAGGAGGCGGTGGCAGGGGCACACAGGGTGGATGTAGGGTGGGGAGGAGGAGAGGAGACCATTCCAGCGAAGGAGGAGTCCGATCTCTGGGATCCTCCGTCCCCCTCTAGAGTACGTCGACCAATCAGAGCACACCAGACCAGAGAGAGGAGGGACAGAGGTTTAGTTGGTGTTACTCAACAGACAGAACCAAACACAGCTAAGCCGAGCCCAGCCGTACTACGCTGGCCTGGTTACGCTTCCACCATAGTTGTTGGAAAAGACAATACAATAAGAAAATATTGAAGCCAGCACAGGGTAAAAGGGGTTGTAAAAGTTCTGTACAGTGCATAGCCCACCTTTGGAGCAGGACACTAACTGCACAGGACAGGTCAGAAAATATTTCAACCCCTACTGTTGAACCCCTACTGTTTTCGGGTGGGCTTGGTAGTGTGAAAAGGGTAATGCTGCCCTGTGTTAGATTACTGCCCATGTGTATCTTTTATTAACCCAATCATATTGTTACTGTACCTCTGTCAGTGTCTGTAGACTGGGTCGAGAGAGGTGGAGGGGTGGATGCTCCTCCCTGGTTGGACGTGGAGTCTCTGTGTCTGATGGTCTGGTTGATGAAGAACCTCCATCTGCCCACCGGAGACGACTGAGGCGCCCAGTCCACTGGAACATAAAATAATATATAAAAAGTCCCACTTTAAACTAACTACAACTTTCAAGTTTTCCTTAAACACTTTATAAAGCCTATATAGATGTTTCAGAAATCAATCAGAATCATTAATAATGCTTTATCACAAGGGGCTACGTCCACTGGCAGATAGAGAGAAGTAATATATAAAAGGTCCCACTTTAAGTGACTATAACTTTACTTTCAAGGCTTAATGAAGCCTTCATAAACACTTTATAACCACATAGATCAGTGGTCACTAACCTTTTCTGAGTCAAACTGAAAGCTGAGATCTACTGCTCAGATTTTGTTTTAAACATGACTTAAAAAACGTAAGCCTATGCAACATGAACTAATTAAAAACTGTTTTGTAGCAATGAGGTTTGTGCAGTAGGCTTAAGGCCCAATACATTATCACTGCATATTGGCTATGCTTGAATTGCTCTGCCAATGTTGTTCTTCTCAGACCATTTAGAAATTATATTTAAAAATTGTAGGTATATGATCACACTGGTAATATATAATTTGTTGTATTACTTGTGAGGCACAGCTAAGTGAGCATAATAATTCGCATTTTTTTTTTACTGGAATGATGGCCTGCATCTGATGGTCAGTCTGAGGGAGGGAGGGAGGGAGCAGTGGTGAGGCTGCTTCTCACCAGACTCACTATCCCTCCTCTCTCCCTCACTCCGCTGAGAAAAGGGGACACAGTCTTCCAGTTAATGGCGAAACATAAGTCGCACCGCATTATTTCAGCCTCATGCACCAACTCATGTTGTTACTCCTATGACCAGAGAAAGTGAAAGATTCCTCAATATTAAAAAAGACACAAGCCGCAAATAATAACAACGCAAGCTTATCGAAACACTTTGCTATACTTATTCATTGCAGGGAGAAGGGCCTTGGTCAGGGAGGTGACCAAGAACCTGATGGTCACTCTGACAGAGCTCCGGAGTTCCTCTGTGGAGATGGGAGAACCTTCCAGAAGGACAACCATCTCTGCAGCACTCATTATGGTAGAGTGGCCAGACAGAAGCCACTCCTCAGTAAAAGACACATGACAGCCCGCTTGGAGTTTGCCAAAAGGCACTTAAAGGACTCTCAGACCATGAGAAACAAGATTCTCTGGTCTGTGAAACCAAGATTGAACTCTTTGGCCCAAATGCCAAGCATCACGTCTGGAGGAAACCAGGCACCGCTCATCACCTGGCAAATACCATCCTTACGGTTGAAACATGGTGGTGGCAGCATCATGCTGTGGGGATGTTTTTCAGTGGCAGGGACTGGGAGACTAGTCAGGATCGAGGGAAAGATGAATTGAGCAAAGTACAGAGAGATCCTTGATGAAAACCTGATCCAGAGCGCTCAGGACCTCAGACTGGGGCGAAGGTTCACCTTCCAACAGGACAGCGACCCTAAGCACACAGCCAAGACAACGCAGGAGTGGCTTGGGGACAAGTCTCAATGTCCTTGAGTGGCCCAGCCAGAGCCCGGACTTGAACCTGATCGAACATCTCTGGAGAGACCTGAAAACAGCTGTTCAGCGACGCTCCCCATCCAACCTGACAGAGCTTGAGAGGACCTGCAGAGAAGAATGGGAGAAACTCCCCAATACAGGTGTGCCAAGCTTGTAGCGTCATACCCAAGAAGACTTGCGGCTGTAATCACTGCCAAAGGTGCTTCAACAAAGTACTGAGTAAAGGGCCTGAATACTAACGTAAATGTAATATTTTTAATCCATTAGCAAACATTTCTACAAAACTGTTTTTGCTTTGTCATTATGGGGTGTTGTGTGTAGATTGATGAGGAAAAAAACAATTTAATCAATTTTAGAATAAGGCTGTAAAACGTAACAAAATGTGGAAAAAGTCAAGGGGTCTGAAAACCTTCCCAATGCACTGTAGTTGCCATTTTGGACGAAGCCAGGGAGGAGGGAGGAGTAACTCACTTGCTGTGCCTGTTGGAGTGCTCACATGCAGCTGCTCCATAGATCCAGTCTTGACAGACCACAGGAAAACAGAGAACAGATGATGTTAACATACATACAGGCAGAATTACATTGTAATAAATCAGATTAGTTATGGTTGCTCCATTACATTAGCTATGGTAAGGGCCTCTGTATGTTCTCCATACACCATTACATATGACATTAGCGCTCTGAATGTTCAGTGTTCACCATAATATATGACATGGCTACTGACATATTGTTTCCATAATGGTAGGACAAAATGACCAGACAGACAGTACTTCACATGGACCTGTTTTCAAGGCACTATAATATGGAGCTTTACCCCTGGCTGTACACTGTACTGGGTTCAGTGTTTCAAACTGTATGTCTAAAGATTAAGAGTAGAAAGGAGTGGAACAGACATTACATCAGGATATCGGAGCTGTATCCCAAAAAGCAGCCTATTCCCTTTATATTGTACTACTTCTGACCATGTAGGGCAGGGGTTCTCAAACTTCTTGGAGCCCAGGACCCCTTTTGTGATTGCAAATTCATTAGGGACCCCCTCATCATCAGAACACAATTCGAGTGAGATTAAAAAATACTAATAAAATAAAAAGCATACAAGAAGTTTTACTATAACTTCGGCAGTGCATAATGGCTGGACGAACCAAGGAACATTTTAAAAGCCCGCTTCTTGGCATGGGAGAGAAAAATGTGCTGTTTTCAAGATAATTTCCTGCAATTCTACACATTTTGTCATTGGGCAGAGAGATTTATTGTTGCTGTTGCAGCTGTAGAGCTAATATCATGCAATTCTACACATTTTGCCATGAGGCAGAGAGAAAATGTTGCAGTTTTAAAGCTTAAATTACAGTGCATTTATGTAAAAAAAATCAAAAATATTTTTGGGGAATACAATAAGTATTGAGTTAGAAAATGTATAATTGGTGGAAAACTGCAGTGGATACCAATATCCCTGTGATTATCCCAGGCCCATGATGTTGCCTAGGGTTAAGAACATAAATTGTAGATGAATAATATTCCATTGTATTGTATTACAACCTCTAAACTTATTCCATGGAGCCCTTGTCCAAAATTAGTTTAATCTGTTGTTAGAAATATTCATTTAAAAAAAGTATGTATGTATATACACATACATACATACATACATACACTACATGGCCAAAAGTATGTGGACAACCCTTCAAATGAGTGGATTCTGCTATTTCAGCCACACCCGTTGCTGACAGGTATACAATCGAGCACACAGCCATGCAATCACCATAGACAAACATTTGCAGTAGAATGGCCCGTATTAAAGAGCTCAGTGACTTTCAACATGGCACCGTCATAGGATGCCACCTTTCCAACAAGTCAGTTTGTCAAATTTCTGCCCTGCTATAGCTGCCCCGGTCAACTGTAGGTGCTGTTATTGTGAAGTGGAAACGTCTAGGAGCAACAACGGCTCAGCCGCGAAGTGGTAGGCTTGTACTGGACCACTGAGTGCTGAAGCGTGTAGCGCGTAAAAATCGTCTGTCCTTGGTTGCAACACTCACTACCAAATTCCAAACGGCCTCTGGACGCAATGTCAGCACAAGAACTGTTCGTCGGGAGCTTCATGAAATGGGTTTCCCATGACCAAGCAGCCGCACACAAGCCTAAGATCACCATGCGCAATGCCAAGCGTCGGCTGGAGTGGTGTAAAGCTCACCGCCATTGGACTCTGGAGCAGTGGAAACGTGATCTCTGGAGTAATGAATCACGCTTCACCATCTGGCAGTCTGACGGACTAATCAGGGTTTGGCTGATGCCAGGAGAATGCTACCTGCCCCAATGCATAGTACCAACTGTAAAGTTTGGTGGAGGAGGAATAATGGTCTGGGCTGTTTTTCATGGTTCGGGCTAGGCCCCTTAGTTCCAGTGAAAGGAAAGCTTAACGCTACAGCATACAATGAAATTCTAGAGGATTCTGTGCTTCCAACTTTGTGTCAACAGTTTGGGGAAGGCCCTTTCCTGTTTCAGCATGACAATGCCCCTGTGCACAAAGCGAGGTCCATACAGAAATGGTTTGTCGAGATCGGTGTGGAAGGAGTTGACTGGCCTGCACAGAGCCCTGACCTCAACCCCATCGAACACCTTTGGGATGAATTGGAACGCTGACTGCGAGCCAGGCCTAGTCGCCCAACATCGGTGCCCGACCTCACTAATGCTCTTGTGGCTGAATGGAAGTAATTCCCCGCAGCAATGTTCCAACATGTAGTGGAAAGCTTTCCCAGAAGAGTGGAGGCTGTTATAGCAGCAAAGGGGGGGACCAACTCCATATTAATGCCCATGATTTTGGAATGAAATGTTTGACGAGCAGGTGTCCATATACTTTTGGTAATGTAGTGTATATACAGTGCCTTCGGAAAGTATTCAGACCCCTTGACTTTTTCTACATTTTGTTACGTTACAGCCTTATTCTAAAATTGATTAAATAAATAAAAAATCCTCAGCAATCTATACACAATACCCCATAATGACAACGCGAAAATGTGTTTTTATAAATTGTAGCAAATTTATTAAATTAAAAAATAAATAAATACTGTATTTACATAAGTATTCAGACCCTTTACTATGAGACTCGAAATTGAGCTCAGGTGCATCCTGTTTCCATTGATCATCTTTGAGATGTTTCTACAACTTGATTGGAATCCACGTGGTAAATTTAATTGATTGGAAATTATTTGGAAAGGCACACCCGTCTATATAAGGTCCCACAGTTGACAGTGCATGTTAGAGCAAAAACCAAGCCATGAGGTCGAAGGAAATGTCCGTAGAGCTCAGAGACAGGATTGTGTCGAGGCACAGTTCTGGGAAGGGTACCAAAATATTTCCTGAGCATTGAAGGTCCCAAGAACACAGTGGCCTCAATCATTCTTAAATGGAAGAAGTTTGGAACCACCAAGACTCTTCCAAGAGCTGGCCGCCTGGCTAAACTGAGCAATCGGGGGAAAAGTGCCTTGGTCAGTGAGGTGACCAAGAACCCGATGGTTACTCTGACAGAGCTCTAGAGTTCCTCTGTGGAGATGGGAGAACCTTCCAGAAGGACAACCATCTCTGCAGCACTCCAACAATCAGGCCTTTATGGTAAAGTGGCCAGACGGAAGCCACTCCTCAGTAAAAGGCACATGACAGCCCGCTCTCAGACCATGAGAAACAAGATTCTCTGGTCTGATGAAACCAAGATTGAACTCTTTGGCCTGAATGCCAAGCGTCACGTCTGGAGGAAACCTGGCACCATCCCTACGGTGAAGCATGGTGATGGCAGCATCATGCTGTGGGGGTGTTTTTCAGCGGCAGGGACTAGTCAGGAATGAGGCAAAGATGAACGGAGCAAAGTACAGAGATATCCTTGATGAAAACCTGCACCAGAGCGCTCAGGACCTCAGACTGGGGCGAAGGTTCACCTTCCAACAGGACAACAACCCTAAGCCAGAGCCCGGACTTGAACCCGATCGAACATCTCTGGAGAGACCTGAAAATAGCTGTGCAGCAACGCTCCCCATCCAACCTGACAGAGCTTGAGAGGATCTGCAGAGAAGAATGGGAGAAACTCCCCAAATACTGGTGTGCCATGCTTGTAGTGTCATACCCAAGAAGACTCGAGGCTGTAATTGCTGCCAAAGGTGCATCAACAAAGTACTGAGTAAAGGGTCTGAATACTTACGTAAATGTAATATTTCTGTTTAAAAAATAATAATTAGCAACAATTTCTAAAAACCTATTTTTGCTTTGTCATTATGGGGTATTGTGTGTAGATTGAGGAGGGGGAAAAACTATTTAATCAATTTTAGAATAAGGCTGTAACCTAACAAAATGTGGAAAAAGTTAAGGGGTCTGAATACTTTCCGAAGGCACTGTGGAGGTACAAGCATGTGTATATATGTAGTGTATTTATCTGGACATGGACCCCCTGCAGTCCCTCCACAGACCCCACTTTGAGAAACCGCACAGACTCCACTTTGAGAACCCCTGATGTAGGGAATAGGGTAATACTGTGCCATTTGGGACGCAACCAATGTTTTCAAACCAGACCTGTTGATGTGTGAGGAGAATTTCCTGAGCTCTCTTGACAATGGACCTCAGGTCTTCCACAAATGTATCTTTCTCTGACTCAAGGACAAAATCCTCCTCCACCTACACAAGACAAAAGCCATTACAGATACACAAATTGATACACAATAGAACACACTTTTTAAAACCAAACTAAATGGACCAAACACAGGCTGCATGGCGAACTGGGTGTTAGTCCAAATGAGAATACTTGCCGCAAAAACCATCATACCATCCAATATTATATAATCATATATTCATAGAATCATATCTAATATATCGAAACAGGTAGAAGTTTGTGGTGCTATAATCCCATACAATGTCCATGTATAACTGCGTGTTGGTCTAGTTACCATGTAATCTGCGATGTCTTCAGGTGCGTCTCCCTCAGTGTCGAACTTAAAGGTGACCATCTTGTTGCTGTGGGTTTCAAGCTGACACTCCACCATGTTATCCCCAGAGCTGGACACCTACGGAGCGCAGGAAGAGAAACCATGTTGGTCTGTTCAATGTCTTGGACATGACAACTTCTTCGACTTGACAATTTATTTCAAACCTTTTACATCCTGAGACGGATTAATATTATTAGGGATACAATACCTGGATCATGCTCAGTTGAAATGCATGTGATCCCTTTTCTGCCCCCCGATAGGACAATCTCCTTTGAGACTTCACCCTCTCTAGTTTTCCATTGGCTAACAACATCTGTAGATCCCCATCCCCATTGGCTGGAACAGCACTGTGAGAGGTGTCAGACAAACAAGAGTCAACACATGTGAACATTGATGGTCAAATAAATAGTACTCCTATTGTTAGTACTTCATGTACAGTAGTGGGCAAAGCCTTTTCTAACATGGAGGGCTTGACATTCAAAACAAAAAACAAACGAACAATGACAACCGGTCCCTAGCCCATCCCCTTGGCCCTAACCTTTGGATGTTTGCAGATCTGAAGGTTCTGGAAAGGTATAAGTAGTGTAGTGGTGTAGCTTCCACCATATCACTTCAAATGTATAGATCTGCAAACATTGACATGATAGGGCCGGGGGCTAGAGCAAGGGAGTAAATTGGGGCCGACGTTGAGAGTAGTGATGTGACACATACCCTGAAGAGGAGTGTCTCTCTGTGCCAGACTGGTTTGCACTCTCCTGTAGAGCCACATAAATACAGACAGAACAACGAACATACAAATACATACCGACATACAGAAAACAGCAAAAACCCACAAAGAAAAAATACATACCAAACCATTAGTTGACTAATACAAATAAAATTGAACAACTGAAATAGGAAATTGAACAAAAATGAACCTATTTTAATGTAAGTTAAACACTGGATCTGGTTGTTGTCGTACTGGTTGGTTTAAATCAGAACAAATACCATACAAACGTACTTAGCGTAACTGAATGAAATGACCTTTTCTTCAAACGAAACAAAAATAATGTGTTTTATTGTGTTTCAAAAATAATACTCTCTACTGTATACACCCTTCTATAACCGGCTGGTTATTGGATGTTGATAGTGGTAGTAGTGGAACAGTATGCAGTAGTGGTAGAGCGGCGTGCACTTCTGTACCTGAGCAATGCCCAGCAGAGCAGGGTCACAGTCTTGGAGCGAGGTTGAGGTGGGGGGCAGCAGCGAGGGGGCGTTAGAGTCAGGGGGCTGGGCAGCGGCAGCAACAGCCAGGGGAGAGGTTAGGCTCGAGGGGACATCAGCCAGGCCAGGCAGGGTTAGTTGGCTCTCTGGTGGGGTGGGCTGGGTCTCTGGGCCAGGGGTAGCAGGATGGAGGGGTGGCAGGGAGGCAGGGTGGGGGTGAGACGATGTATGAGAAGGGCTGGGGGGCATCTGTGGAAGAGGGAGGGAAGTAGCCTGGGGAGGATTCAGAGGGGGCTGTTGCTCGGTGGTGGAGGCCGCCAATGCAGCCTCAGCGAGCTGGGTCTGGGTATGGGCATGGGGCTGCGTTTGGGCCAGTGTCTGGGTGTGTGCCTGAGCTTGCATGGCCATCTGGGTGTGTGTGTGGGCGGGTAACGGCTGTGTCAGCTGAGCCTGGTGCTGGTGGGATGGTGGCGTAATTCCTGCTACTACCTGACTGTAGAAGGGTAGGGCTCTAGTCTGATTCCCGAGCTGGGGCAGGTTACTTGGGGATGCTATCTGTGCTGGGTTAACAGTGGGCTGCTGGGGAAACAGATGTGGGGGGATCTGAGGAAGCTGATAAGCCAGTTGACTTGGGTCGGGAATTGAGACTTGCTGATGCTGAGAGGGAAGAGACTGCAGAGCCTGCTGGATGGGGGCTGGGGCTGTCTGAGCCTGAAGCTGCTGTGGCTGTGGGACAGGCTGTACCGGTGGTTGTAGCTGTACCTGCTGGCCTTGGATATCCACTTGTCCAGTTTGTTGTTGTATGTGTTGAGGCGAAGCAGAGACCAAGGTGGTAGGGTCTATGTCTGTGGCTGCAGGGGCCGCCATGACAGTTCCAACACCAACAGATCCAGGAGACAGCATCACCTGCTGGTACTGCAGAATGGACTGCTGTTGCTCCAACAGTATCTGCTGTTGTTGGGTAACTTGTTGTGTGATGTCCTGATGCTGTTGTTGCAGGACTGGCTGCATGGCTTGCTGTTGGGTGGGCTGAGGTGCAGTGACATACTGCGGTGCCAGTAGGACGGCTGGAGCATAGGGCAGGAGTTGAGGCTGCGCCAGCACTGGGAGCTGAACACTGGGCTGCACTGGAGACTCGTGCTGGGGTTGGGCTTGGATCTGGCTGTGCATGGGGGTTATTGAGACTGGAGATCGGGGTTGGACCAGAGTTGGACTCTGCTTCATAGGAGGCAGCATCTGAGTCTCAAGAACTGCTGGAATCTGAGTCTGAGTCAAAGCTTGGGTTGGATGCAGAGGCCGGGGAGTCTGCTGGATGAATGACTGCACTGGAGCCTGGGCCTGTATTTGAGCTGGGATCTGATGGATAGACTGTACTAGAGGAGCCTGGGGCTGGATAGGGATCGGAGGACTTGGTGCCTGGATCGGGGCCACCACTTGAGGTGGAATCTGGACCTCAATCATCTGGGGCTGGGCTTGGAGTACTGGGACTGGGGATTGGCCCTGGCTCTGAGGGTGAGCTTCATTCCGAGCTTGAATCTGGGCCAGGACTTGGGCATGGGCTTGCACTACAGCCGGTGGAGCCTGACTGGGAATCTGTGGCTGAATGGCTACAGGTATGGCTCCCTGACCCTGGGCTTGGGCCTGCGCCTGGGCGGCCATCTGAGCTTGGACCTGAATGGCCTGTATAACCTCTGCTGCTGGTACGGTTGGGGCTACAAGGGGGATCTGAGGCTGAGGTTCAACGACAGAGCTCTGATGGCGCTGCTGTTGTTGCTGGACAACATACTCTTGTTGTTGTTGCTCCAGTAATATAGCTTGTTGTTGTTGCTGCTGCTGTTGTTGTTGTTGATGTAATTGCTGTTGTATCAGCGCTACTTGCTGTTGTTCTGTCAGTTGCTGCTGTGTTAGGCTAGTGTGACTAGGTGGAAACATAGCAGTGTTTTGCTGTTGTTGTTGTTGTTGCAACATACACACATCAATTTGTTGCTGTTGAATCAACGCTTGCAACTGCTCACATTGTTGCTGAATCAAAGCGGTCTCTTGTTTCTCGCTTTGTTGTAATTGAATATTGGCGGTTTGCTGCTGCGGTTGCCCAGTCTCTTGCTGTTGTTGAATCTGTTGCTGCTGCTGTTGTAGCAAAGCCTGTTGGTGCAGTCTCTCTGCTTGTTGTTGCTGTAGCAACGCCTGCTTTTGCCGTTGTTGTTCGATCTGTTGTTGTAACAAAGCTTGCTGCTGTTGTAGCTCCAGCTTCTGTTGCAGTTGTGCCTCTTGTTGCTGTTGCTCCAATTGCTGCTGCTGTAAAATCGCTTGTTGCTGTTGAAGCTGTTTCTGTTGTAGCAGGGCTTGCTGTTGTTTCAACTGTTGCTGTAGCACAGCTTGCTGTTGCTGTGGGTCGACTGGATGACTGACGACCGCCTGTTGTTGTAGTTGGGTCAGTTGTTGCAGAACAGCTCGCTTTTGTTGTTGCTGCTGTTGTAGATCCATTTGCGGTTGTTGTTGGATCTGGCTCGCTTGGTGAGCCTCCAGTTGTTGTTGTTGCTGTAAGAGCGCTTGCTGCTGCTGTTGCTCGAACTGCTGTTGTTGTAACAGCGCTTGCTGTTGCTCTAGCTGTTGCTGTTGTAGTTGCGCCTGTTGTTGCTGTTGCTTTAAGGCTTGCTGTTGCTGCTGCTCTTGTTGCTGCTGCTGTAACATCGCTTGCTGCTGCTGTTGTTCAAATATCTGCTGTTGTAACAGTGCTTGCTGTTGCTCCAGTTGGTGCTGCTGTAATCGTGCCTGTTGTTGCTTTTGTAGCAACGCTTGTTGCTGCTGTTGCTCAAGCTGCTGTTGTATGTACACTTGCTGTTGTTGTTCTAGTAACATCGCTTGTTGTTGTTGCTGATGTTCAATCTGGTGCTGTTGGTGTAGTAACAATGTTTGCTGCTGTTGCAGTTGTTGCTGCTGTTGTATGTCGTTTTGCGGATGTTGCGCATAGACTTGGGTTTGATCCACTTGCTGTTGCTGCAATGACAATGCCTGTTGTTTTTGCTGCTGTTGGTCCATTGATTGTTGTTGTAGTAAGGCCTGCTGCTGAGGATGCTGTTGCATTTGCTGCTGCTGCTGAACCAAAGCTTGCTGCACATACACTTGCTGCTGTAGCTCAGTAGTTTGCTGCTGTTGGATTGCTATAGTCTGTTGCTGCTGTTGCTGTTGTTGTTCTATATGTTGCTGTATCAGTACCGCCTTCTGGGGAATTACATTGGCCTGTTGTTGTTGTTGTTGTTGATGCTGCTGCTGCTGAAGCAGGGCGGTTTGTTGAGCCTCCATTTGCTGCTGCTGTGGCTCCATCAGTATCTGCTGTTGTTGTTGAACAATGGTCTGCTGTTGGGTGATCATGACAGGCTGTGCTTGCTGGGTTAAAGGCTGGGGTGTCATCTGGATGTCAGAGGCCTGCATGATGTTGGGAGTGACATTGGCCTGGGTCTGTTGTGGGAGAGGGACCATGGCCTCCTTGCCACCAACGCCCACTAGTCCTGTTGGGTCCCCCACTGAAATGGGAGCTGGAAGAATGTTATGCTGGGCTTGGGGCGAGACTGGGGGTGCGTAGGACTGGGAAGGGGCCATTGGTGCGATCTGTGATCCATCTGAATGGTATGACTGAGATGGTGTGAAGATGATCATCATGGGGTGACAGGTGCATGGTCAGATGGAGTTATGGTGAGAGGGCAGGTAGGGGAGATTGAGGTAAAGAGACAAGTTAAGAGTAAGCATTGGATAAAGGGCAGGCATTAATTATCAAAGGATTGCACAGATTTTTTAGAGGACATGAAAACATTGTTATGATCAAGATTGTTATAGTTTTTATTATCATTTTCATTAAAGAACATCTGATAAAATAGTTACGTGGAATGATTAAAAGCTATTTGGAATATATCATGGTTCAAACTTGTTTTATCCAGTATAAAAGAGGGTTAGAGAGATGTTAAGAGAGTTGAATGGGATCGAGAGCCACTCACCTGCGAATACTGCTGTGGTACACCTGGTGAGACTTCCGTTGCCATAGCAACAGGCTGAGCGTAAGTCTGCTGACCAACAGGTGCCCCACCACTGCTTTGACCAATGGACATGGCGGAAATCCCACCACTCTGACCAATAGGCACGTTCGGAACTCCTCCGCTCTGACCAATCGGGAGCATTTCATGATGGGCCAAAATGGCCTAAAAATAGATAATAGACAACATAATTGAGCATGATTGCAGGGTTGAAGATAAGATATCAATCTCTTTGTATACTGGATTTTCCAAAACAGGAACAACCATAATATGATGTATGTTCCAAATGGTACCCTATTCTCTACATAGCGCACTACTTTTGGCCCTGGTCAAAAGTAGTGCACTACATAGGAAATAGGTTGTCCTTTGGGATGCCATATACTCACCGACGCAGCAGCAGGGATGCTGGGTTGAGAGAGCACGTATGACTCCCCTTGCTGAGGGTATGCCTGGCTCTGGCTACTGGCATAGGACTCACAGCTGGCTGAGCCAATGCTCTCACCTCCTGGAGTAAATACAAGGGCAAGTGTAAAATATGAGTCTAGACAAACACTACTTTGGGGATAAGGAAAATAATATAATTATCATTATATCCTATTCTAGGACTGTCCACAACCAAATAATATGTTTATCTTAATATTCCACTTCGTTGCTGATATCTACCCCAGTACAGTCAGTAAGTAGGTAAACACAGTATACAGTCTTACACCGTAAATAAATCTTTACAAGCCTCTGACTGACATAACATTGGTCTGCAGTTGTACCTGTGGGCAGGCTCAGAGGATTCCCACTATGGAACAGCTGCTGTTGCCTCACATGCTGATCCACCTCTGGTAGCTCCTCAGCCTCCCCCTGCCCTCCTCCTCCCCCATCTCCCCCTGTCAGCCCAGCCACCCCAGGCCCTAGGGAGGAGGGGTGAGAGCAGGTGTAGGAGGAGGTGAGGGTAGAGTCCCGTCTCTCATCAAAGCCTTGCTGCTGTTGGAGCAGCTGCTGCTGGCGTCTCTCACGGGACTTCTTGATGAGCGTAACGCGGTCGCGGATGGATTTACCGACCACTTTTGTGTCGCTCTCGTGGAAGAAACCTGACTTCACCTGGAGAGAGGAGGGAGAGGGGGTGGTGGGTAGACAGAGAGAAGGGGAGGGAGGGAGAGAGAGAGAGAGGAGAGAGAAGAGAGGAGAGACGACCGAGAGGAGAAGAGAGAGAGCAGAGAGAGAGAGAGAGAGAGAGAGAGAGAGAGAGAGAGAGGAGAGAGAGAGAGAGAGAAGAGGAGGGAGGGAGTAGGTGGAGAGAGAGACAGGGAGATAGGAGCGGAGAGAAAAAGAGAGAGTGGGAAAGACAGAGAGAGAAAAAGTTGAAAGCATGGCGAGGGAATGTAGGTTGGAGGTAGCGACTAGCAAGGAAACCTTGATTAATGAGCTGTGGACTTTGTAATACATCAAAGCACACCTTTCCTATAGCCCTCCCACCTTCCCTGCAGTTCTCTCAACATAGAGGTCCCAGTTATTCCTGCTCCATCCTACACTGCTCTCTCTCAAATCATTTTTCACACTAATGTGCTGAGCCGAGCCAACCTTTATTGTACTGTACCAGTTCGGGTCTGTACCAAAGTGTGAAAAAGGTATCCCTCCCTCTCTATCCCTTTCTCCTCCTAATCTCACCATCTCCGAAGCCACCTCCTCTGCGCTGTCATTCTCCAGGTCATAGCTGAACTCGATGGCCTCGTTGTCTTTGTGTTTTCCCTTCAGCTTCTTTGGCTCCTCCACCCAGATCCTGAGGGCCAGGCAGTCCTGACAGCCCATGTCTTCCTCCGCCAGCTCCACACGTACCCCTGTGTCCTCCCCGAAGAACGCGTTGGTCAACAGGTCCCGGATGGACAGCCTGCAGAAAGAGAGAACACATCAAGCAAGGAACAAATTCCCACTTTATTCCCCCCAAAATTGTGATTTTTATTGGATAGAACAGTGAAGAACAGATGACAGGAAAGGTAGAAGGGCGAGTCAGAAGGGCAGTGGGCTGGAGTTGAACCCATGCCCACTCTGGTATATGTACCGGGGTCAGTGGCACTAACCACTATACCTTTTTACAAGCGCTCTGCTGTTTAGCAAGGTTTGCAAAAGGCATTGCAATTCATCCCATTATTATGAGAGTGGTCAAACCACTTGCCTCTGACTCTTGTCCTGGCGGATGCAGCACTCAATGATCTCTTTGATCTCTGGGTCGTTGACTTTATCGAAGCTGGCTGGTTTTATACCCTGTAGACAGACAGGGAGAGAGGGGGCAGGTGAGGTGACTGAACAGACAATAATATAGATGATGGACACCTCCGTCCTACACGGACAGTAATATACTTTAGATGGGACTCCTGTACTACTTCAGAGAGTTAATCATTAAGCAGTAATGAAGAAACCCTGACCACAGTTAATGTACTGTCACATATACAGTATATTTAGTAATTTACTGAATCTGAGGGAGGTTGGCGAGAAAATCAAGGGCAAGTCGGGAAACGACAGACTCGGCCAAAGGGACTTTTATGAAGAATTCTAGACAGAAAGATCTAGTAAAAGTAGGGAAAAGGGAACTTATGCCACAAAGGGACAAGCCCAAAGGGACGACAGTCCCAGACTTACGCTGGTGACTTTGCGGTAGATCTGCGCAGCGTTCTGGCACTCCGAGTAGGGGTATTCTGAGGTGGCCATCTCCAACATGCACATCCCAAAGGCATAGACATCCACAGACTCATCATAATGCTCCTCATACATCTCTGGAGCCATGAACTCAGGAGTACCTGGAAGACAGGGCATATCAATCAATTGAAAAGGTAAAGTCGCACACCTTAAATACCCTGATGAAGATCTTTTGAGACCTAAATGACCGAAATTGGTGAAATAAGCATCAAGATTGCCATCATAGTTATGCTTGGACAGTGATGCTCAACCTGGGCAACCTGTGTTTATTGAATACCATTTTGATCTCTAACCGCCTCTGTCAGTAGTGGAGTACCCACAGTATACATTATTTTTGAAGAAGGTTACTCAGGAATCTATAGGGTCCACACTTACTGTAAATACAGACCACAGATTAGCTCTTAACATGAACTTCGAGTGGCATTTAGTGCAATAGAGCTTGTCCTAAGGGCAAGAATTATCACCGCAGAGACTGTACTAAGCTGATGATGCCTTCTTGGAGAGTTGGGGCAGCTTATAAGATATTCACATTGTAGCAGAGTGACCACAGATTATAAAAGCCATTCCCACAACACAGGGGTCCATTAGCTCAAGGTCCATTAGCTCAAGTCTTACTCACAAGAGCTCTGACATACCTATATGACCCATTCAAATACCATTCCCACAACATAACATAAGAAAACAACTGATAAATGGCTCCAGAAACTGATGTCCGCTAGTTACCTATGACACTTTTGGCGAAGGAGGTCCTCATGAGAGTGGCCAATCCCAGGTCTCCTATCTTGACGGAGCCGGTAGGGCCGGTGATGAAGATGTTGTCACACTTGAGGTCCCTGTGGATGATGGGAGGGGTCCGTGTGTGGAGGAACTGGAGGCCCTTCAGGATCTGACGACACCAGCTCCTCAGGACCTTGGGCTTCATCACCTTGAAGCGCTTCAGGTACCTGCAGACAGGACAGTAGACGAGAGCATGGTTATAACTATACAGCATTATGACATATGGTTTATGTGGAACAACTATATGAAAGTTGAAAGTGCGACCCGATTTCTACAGGTAGAACATCAACATCCTCGTGAACGCACCATGATCCGCCAACTCACTGGTAACAATTTCCAGGAGCTGTCATCTCTTTGGTGTAACGCTACTTGGAGCTGAGCAGGGGTGTGTGTATGTATCTGTGCATGTCTTCTACCCACGTTTTGAGTGTTCCCGAGGTCATGAGTTCGGTGACCAGGACAATGCACTTCTTCCCTCGCAGCACTGACTCCCAGGAGTCATAGAAACGGACAATGTTAGGGTGCTGGAGGCCCTTCAGCATCTCTGCCTCCTCCTTAAAACGCTGCTGCTCCGCCTTGGTCAGCTTACGGTCCTGTAGACACACAAGAATACACAGAAGGCAGGTTAGACATCAGTGAGAGCGTTCGGTTGTGAGATCAAGTTGCAAAGATCGATACCTGCACACTGTTGAATGCTCAAGCAGTTCGTTTTATTGGGCAACCCAAAGGTTTTCATCAGTGAGAACATACCCACAGCTTAAACAGTGTTCAGTGCTATTCTCCTACTGTTGTACAAAAAAAACTATGGATTTAGAGTGCTTAGGGCTATATTCAAGAGGCATGGGTTCATACTTTCACCATACACTAAACTTGAAACCTATGACAAAAACCTTTCAGGAGACAATGCATATATGTCACGCCCTGACCTTGAGCTCTGTTTTCTCTAGTTGGTTTGGTCAGGGTGTGAATTCTAGATTTTGTATTTCTATGTTGGCCGGGTGTGGTTCCCAATCAGAGGCAGCTGTCGATCGTTGTCTCTGATTGGGGATCATACTTAAGCAGCCATTTTTGCCTACCTTAGTTGTGGGATCTTGTTTCTGTTTTGGCTTGTGGTTGTGCAGCCTGTTGAACTTCACGTTCGTTTGTATTTTGTTGGTTTGATTTGTATTCAGTTAATAAAGGAATATGTACGTATACCACGCTGCACCTTGGTCCGATCCGTCTATCAACGAGCGTGACAATATACAAAAACCTGAGACTTATTATTGGGAGCATGCTTTCAGGAAACAGTTCTTTGTCAACAACAGAGCCAATACTGGAACACTATACTAATCAGGAAACAGTCCTGTCAACAACAGAGCCAATACTGGAACACTATACTAATCAGGAAACAGTCCTGTCAACAACAGAGCCAATACTGGAACACTATACTAATCAGGAAACAGTCCTGTCAACAACAAAGCCAATACTGGAAAACTATACTAATCAGGAAACAGTCCTGTCAACAACAGGGCCAATACTGGAGCACTATATCAGTCAGGAAACAGTGCCGTCAACAACAGGGCCAATACTGGAGCACTATATCAGTCAGTCAGCCCTCCTTACCACCAAGCAACCATGTTTTATGTAATTAAACACCTACCACCACTAGATGGCGCTAGCAGAATATAGTTCCATCTGCATGAGTGGAGACAACACCCACCTCAGCCTATAAAACACTTCTGCAGCATCTGCCATGCTGCCATTGGCCCAGCATGGCGGATGCTGCAGAAATCCCTGGCTCCGGCAGAGTATCCCACTGGGAAAAACACATGCTTGCACACACACACACACAGATATGTATGCTGACGCGCACGCAGACAGCCACACACACGCGGACGCAAGCACACACACACGCACGCAAACATGCACATACATGCACGCAAACATGCACATACACACACACATATATATACAAACTAGGCTACTGACTGGGCCCTCTGTTGGCTACTTACAGTAAGCAATAAGGCCCGAGGGGGTGTGGTATATGGCCAATATACCACAGCTAAGGGCTGTTCTTATGCACGACGCAACACGGAGTGCCTGGATACAGCCCTTAGCCGTGGTATATTGGCCATATACCACAAACCCCAGAGGTGCCGTATTGCTATTATAAACTGGTTACCAACATAACCAACATGTGGTCCTCTGTAGCTCAGCTGGTAGAGCACGGCGCTTGTAACGCCAAGGTAGTGGGTTCGATCCCCGGGACCACCCATACACAAAAATGTATGCACGCATGACTGTAAGTCGCTTTGGATAAAAGCGTCTGCTAAATGGCATTTTTTATTATAATTAGAAGAGTAAAAATAAATGTTTTGTCATACCCGTGGTATACTTTCAGCCAATCAGCATTCAGGGCTCGAACCAACCAGTTTATAATGGCAAATAAGCAAATAATATACCATTATGAACCGCTGAGTGACTATTCATTTATAGCTTAGTAATTTCCCAAATAGCAGCTGTCCTAACAATTGTCATCATTAAAAGAACAAAGTAAGCATTGTTCTTTTAGTGGTCATTTTGACCTCTGTTGACCTTGCCACTTGTGGTCTCTTACGCATCATTCAACATCACGCTATAGTCTGAATAGGACAACAACCAAAGGTCATGACCTGAGGCGAGGCCATATTGCAAAACAAACAAACTACAAAACAAAGATGTGCAAGAAAACAACTATCATCTCCTCACTAGCACCTGTCAAGTACATGAAAACAAACAAACATATTTGAACGTGCAAGAAAACAACCTATCATCCCCTCGCTAACAGCTGTGAAATGGTCAGTGGGATTCCTGCCATAGCAATAACACAAACAGAACACACATCCCTAAAATAGCATTCATAATATTTAGCTTTCCATTTAGCGCGTCCATTTACTTATAGGCTCTGTGTTCATGAATTACTGTCTGAAGGGAGAGGGGCTACTACTGCAGACATTTCATTCTAAATAATCAGATTGACTTCTGATTTCCCTCCTCTCGTCTCTCTCTCTGTCTCTTGCCTTCCCCTCCTCTCTCATGGTCTCTGCATCCTGTATTCTAAGATCCTTCTCTTCCAACTCAATGTCCTTTTCTGGAAGTGAAGGCCACCTCGCTCCTCTTCGCCCCCTCCTCCTCCTCTCCTCCTCCCTCTTGGCACTGTCATCCCTCTCTTCCTCGCTCTCTCTCCTGTATTCCCTGGCTTGAACTGAGCGTCAACAGCAAGACTGCTGCTTTATCGTCAGAGCTAAAAATAATATCCTGGACTTGGGACTGCCGCTTTGCCTCGACTCCCTGCTGTTTCACTGTCTGAATGGCTTGATGTGTCTGTCTGGCTCGAAGTGGCTGTCTGTGCAGTAGGCCTATGTGCTTCGGTTTGTCTGTGTCCCTGCATTGAACTGTGTCCTAACAGTGTCTGATTCTGTGGGTTGGTTTCTGTTGGTCACAGACTAGCCTCACCTTCATCTGTCACTGTCACTGTGTATAATCAGACCATCACTCTGTGTCACCGCTTGTCGTCTGTGTGTCTCTTGTCTGGCCGTCTGTCTGGCTGTCTAACTCCATATTCTCTGTGCATCATGCAGCTCTCTTAGCTCTCCCCTGTGTATCTATTGTGTGGTTGCCAGTGTCAGGTCAGATGATCTGGGGTAAGCAAAGGTCACTGGGGTCAATTATCATCATAAATCAGATCAGTCATGTCACGGTGGCAAAAGACAAACATACACGCACACACACAAAGAAGAAACACAGGCGCGCACGCACATGCACACGCACACACAAAAACATCTGCTCTCTACAATATGAAAGGCAGAAGAATAGATGCTTATGGGCTGCATAAATAAAACATTCATTATGAAGACTGCTTAACATACCAGCATACAATACTTTTACTGCTGATCATCTCATTGATAGACATGTATTCTCAGAACCCAGAATCACATTTCACAGTACGTGGGCCAGCTACTCGATGCACAAGAGACAAAATATTTACACACTCTCTTTCTCCAGCAAAGCAAACAAACTGGGAGTATGCGATGTGATAACGTACGTGAAGGACAAACACATGGTTGAGACATTGCCCTGTGTAGGGTGCCGTCTTTCGGATGGGACGTTAAAAGGGTGTCCTAACTCTCTGTGGTCACTAAAGATCCCATGGCACTTATCGTAAGAGTAGGGGTGTTAACCCCAGTGTCCTGGCTAAATTCCCAATCTGGCCCTCATACCATCATGGCCACCTAATCATCCCCAGCTTCCAATTGGCTCATTCATCCCCTCTCCTCTCCCCTGTAACTATTCACCAGGTCGTTGCTGTAAATGAGAATGTGTTCTCAGTCAACTTACCTGGTAAAATAAGAGTAAAACAATTAATAAAAATACTAAACAAAAGAAACAGGACATAATTAAAAGGGGGGAGTAAAATTGACAGACTTCAACTTGTAAATTCAAGTTGACCACAAGACACATGGAGGAGAGGGAGCAACAGAGTAGTCCCGTGTAGCTCAGTTGGTAGAGCATGGCATTTGCAACGCCAGGGTTGTGGGTTTGATTCCCACGGGGGGCCAGTATGAAAATGTATGCACTCACAAAAAAAAAAACTGTAAGTCGCTCTGGATAAGAGCGTCTGCTAAATGACTAAAATGTAACAAAGAGAGAGAAACGGAGGAAGAAATGGAGAGAAAGAGATTGGGAACTGAGAAGCTATGAAAGAGGCCTATTGTGTACAGCAGGCTGGGTGTCTCGCTGCAGTCCCTCTGAGTGAATATCCTTGTTACTAAGTGGTGTGATACATATGTTGTGCATCTCAAATGGCACACTATTCCCTATTTACATTTTAGTCATTTAGCAGATGCTCTTATCCAGAGCGACATACAGTTAGTATAGTGAACATAGTGGCCATAGGGCTCTGGTCAAAAGTTGTGTACTATCCATCAAGACAAAACGAAAGTATTCACCCCCCTAGGCATTTTTCCTATTTTGTTGCCTTCCAACCTGGAATTAAAATGGATTTTTTGGGGGGTTTGTATCATTTGATTTACACAACATGCCTACCACTTTGAAGATGCAAAATAAATAAAAATTGTGAAACAAACAAGAAATAAGACATAAAAACAGAAAACTTGAGCGTGCATAACTAGTCACCCCCCCCCCCCCCACCCCAAAGTCAATACTTTGTAGAGCCACCTATTGCAGCAATTACAGCTGCAAGTCTCTTGGGGTATGTCTCTATGAGCTTGGCACATCTAGCCACTGGGATTTTTGCCCATTCTTCAAGGGAAAAACTGCTCCAGCTCCTTCAAGTTGGATGGGTTCCACTGGTGTACAGCAATCTTTAAGTCATACCACAGATTCTCAATTGGATTGAGGTCTGGGCTTTGACAAGGCCATTCCAAGACTTTTAAATGTTTCCCCTTAAACCACTCGAGTGTTGCTTTAGCAGTATGCTTAGGGTCATTGTCCTACTGGAAGGTGAACCTCTGTCCCAGTCTCAAATCTCTGGAAGACTGAAACAGGTTTCCCTCAAGAATTTCCCTGTATTTAGCGCCGTCCATCATTCCTTCAATTCTGACCAGTTTCTCAGTCCCTGCTGATGACAAACATCCCCACAGCATGATGCTGCAACCACCATGCTTCACTGTGGGGATGGTGTTCTCAGGGTGATGAGAGGTGTTGGGTTTGCGCCAGACATAGCGTTTTCCTTGATGGCCAAAAAGCTCAATTTTAGTCTCATCTGACCAGAGTACCTTCTTCCATATGTTTGGGGAGTCTCCCACATGACTTTTGCCGAACACCAAACGTGTTTGCTTATTGTTTTCTTTAAGCAATGGATTTTTTCTGGCCACTCTTCCGTAAAGCCCAGCTCTGTGGAGTGTACGGCTTAAAGTGGTCCTTTGGACAGATACTCCAATCTCCGATGTGGAGCTTTGCAGCTCCTTCAGGGTTATCTTTGGTCTCTTTCTTGACTCTCTGATTAATGCCCTCCTTGCCTGGTCCATGAGTTTTGGTGGGCGGCCCTCTCTTGGCAGGTTTGTTGTGGTGCCATATTCTTTCCATTTTTTAATAATGGATTTAAATGGTGCTCCGTGGGATGTTCAAAGTTTCTGATATTTTTTTATAACCCAACCCTGATCTGTACTTCTCCACAACTTTGTCCCTGACCTGTTTGGAGAACTCCTTGGTCTTCATGGTGCCGCTTGCTTGGTGGTGCCCCTTGCTTAGTGGTGTTGCAGACGCTGGGGCCTTTCAGAACAGGTGTATATATACTGAGATCATGTGACAGATCATGTGACATTTAAATAAAGTCCATCTGTGTGCAATCTAACTAATTATGTGACTTCTGAAGGTAATTGGTTGCACCAGATCTTATTTAGGGGCTTCATAGCAAAGGGGTGAATACATATGCACGCACCACTTTTCCGTTATTTATTTTTCCATTTTTTAAAACAAGTAATTTTTTTCATTTCACTTCAAATTGTGTATGTCCATTACATGAAATCCAAATAAAAATCCATTAAAATTACAGGTTGTAATGCAACAAAATAGGAAAAACACCAAGGGGGATGAACACTTTTGCAAGGCACTGTATAGGGAATAGGGTGCCATTTTGGAACGCAACCATGTAATAATCTATACAACTCCTACTGCTTCTACACAACATAAATAAACCATTATCTACTGTCAGTGGAGCCATAAATATTTTATTTATTTAACATTAATTTAATCAGGCAGTCATACTGAGACCAAGGTCTCTTTCACAGATGAGCCCTGAATTACAGAAATTTCAGAAAATACGCACATCAAAATATAAATACACTGCTCAAAAAAATAAAGGGAACACTAACATAACACATCCTAGATCTGAATGAATGAAATAATCTTATTAAATACTTTTTTCTTTACATAGTTGAATGTGCTGACAACAAAATCACACAAAAATTATCAATGGAAATCAAATTTATCAACCCATGTAGGTCTGGATTTGGAGTCACCCTCAAAATTAAAGTGGAAAACCACACTACAGGCTGATCCAACTTTGATGTAATGTCCTTAAAACAAGTCAAAATGAGGCTCAGTAGTGTGTGTGGCCTCCACGTGCCTGTATGACCTCCCTACAACGCATGGGCATGCTCCTGATGAGGTGGCGGATGGTCTCCTGAGGGATCTCCTCTCAGACCTTGACTAAAGCATCCGCCAACTCCTGGACAGTCTGTGGTGCAACGTGGCGTTGGTGGATGGAGCGAGACATGATGTCCCAGATGTGCTCAATTGGATTCAGGTCTGGGGAACGGGCGGGCCAGTCCATAGCATCAATGCCTTCCTCTTGCAGGAACTGCTGACACACTCCAGCCACATGAGGTCTAGCATTGTCTTGCATTAGGAGGAACCCAGGGCCAACCACACCAGCATATGGTCTCACAAGGGGTCTGAGGATCTCATCTCGGTACCTAATGGCAATCAGGCTACCTCTGGCGAGCACATGGAGGGCTGTGCGGCCCCCCAAAGAAATGCCACCCCACACCATGACTGACCCACTGCCAAACCGGTCATGCTGGAGGATGTTGCAGGCAGCAGAACGTTCTCCGGGGCGTCTCCAGACTCTGTCACGTCTGTCATGTGCTCAGTGTGAACCTGCTTTCATCTGTGAAGAGCACAGGGCGCCAGTGGCGAATTTGCCAATCTTGGTGTTCTCTGGCAAATGCCAAACGTCCTGCACGGTGTTGGGCTGTAAGCACAACCCCCACCTGTGGACGTCGGGCCCTCATACCACCCTCACGGAGTCTGTTTCTGACCGTTTGAGCAGACACATGCACATTTGTGGCCTGCTGGAGGTCATTTGGCAGGGCTCTGGCAGTGCTCCTCCTGCTCCTCCTTGCACAAAGGCAGAGGTAGCGGTCCTGCTGCTGGGTTGTTGCCCTCCTACGGCCTCCTCCACGTCTCCTGATGTACTGGCCTGTCTCCTGGTAGCGCCTCCATGCTCTGGACACTACGCTGACAGACACAGCAAACCTTTTTGCCATTGCTCACATTGATGTGCCATCCTGGATGAGCTGCCCTACCCGAGCCACTTGTGTGGGTTGTAGACTCCGTCTCATGCTACCACTAGAGTGAAAGCACCGCCAGCATTCAAAGGTGACCAAAACATCAGCCAGGAAGCATAGGAACTGAGAAGTGGTCTGTGGTCACCACCTGCAAAACCACTTCTTTATTGGGGGTGTCTTGCTAATTGCCTATAATTTCCACCTGTTGTCTATTCCATTTGCACAACAGCATGTGAAATGTATTGTCAATCAGTGTTGCTTCCTAAGTGGACAGTTTGATTTCACAGAAGTGTGATTGACTTGGAGTTACATTGTGTTGTTTAAGCGTTCCCTTTATTTTTTTGAGCAGTGTACAAAATGCAAGCAGAAAGAAAGAAAGAAAATATAAGTCCAGTACTTGTGCAGTTGATGTAGATTAATGACTTCAAC